TGAAAAAATAATGCTACACGTCATTTAAAACATCACAAACTCAAGACCGCGGGCTAAATAACGCACGCGGCGTTTTCAATAATTGATGTATGAACAACGTTTTCAATAATTGATGTATGAACAGGTGAGAGCCCGGATTACCCAGGATAAAACAATGCCCGAATGAAACAGTAGCAAGTAAAACACAGCACGTGGCTTTCAACAACCACCGTAGTGGCCTCTTTAACATGTTATATATTCAGAGAACACCGAGTTATTATCAATAATGTATTCCTAAAACTCGGCGATGGAACGGAACCCACGTGATCAAAAACAAATCTCCCTGCTATAACCACTGTGCCACCTATCCCTTGACACACAAAGATAAAGATCTCCCTGTGTAGACATACAGGCTCTTGTGGCAAGTGCTTGTTATTGAGCACTCGTTAAGACTTGCAACGGGAGTGATGGTGTAATCCCTGGGTTTGATCTTCCACGAAGCTCATGGGCCACCCGAAACCGCATCCGCACAAACCGTGGCAGCAGATGCGGATACCCTGATGCACAAATGGAAAATTAAAAAACTAACTATCCAGTGTACGACTGTGGTCGTTAAGAACAGACCGTACAACGCAATTCTCGATCCACAAATACGGAGACATCGCAAGCGATACACTCCGCTACTTCCGACGCCGTTGTCCGGCTTGAGCACCTGAATGTGAAGTCGTGGTTGATTGCTCTGCATCTACATCAGCCGTACGAGAGAAGAGGGGGTGTGACCAGGACCACACCCCAAGTGCCAACGTCTGTGCACCTCGCACCAAGGCTGAGTCGACCGAGCGAAGGACCAACACAGGCTGCGATAAAAAAAACTCCCCAAGCGGCAACAGCCACCGTGACCTGGAATTGAACTCAAGAGACGCCCCGTGCGTTAAAACACACGCGCGCACACAAAGATCCCCCGTATAGCCTTAACAGACTGTAGGGGCAAGCGCTGTTAGCGAGCACCTATGAAGGCCGCAACGGTACACGAGGGGCTGGGTGGCCAGCACCACGCCCGACCGCCTTTGTCTCCCCAGTGGCGATGTTTACACACCGTACCAGGTACTCATTTAAGGCTGAGTCGACCTAGGGGATTCCCAGAACCGGTTTAGATAATTGTCACTGGTATTGGCCGTGAGCGGGAATCGAACCCGGGTCGTTGGGTTCATAGCGCTAACCACTACACTACCGCTCCCCACAACGCGCGCACACACACACCCAGACACACACGTGCACACACCCACACACACACACCCGCACACACACACACCCACACACACACACCCGCACACACACGCGCACACACACATCCACACACACACACCTGCACATACACACACTCACACACCCACCCACACACGCGCACACACACACACACCCACACACACCCACACTCCCACATACACCCCCCCACACACACACACTCCTACACACACGCGCACACACACCCACACACCCACACACACACGCGCACACACCCACCCACCCACACACCCACACACACCCACACACACTCACACATCCACCCCCCGTCTTCTGGCGACACCAATGTAAACACTCTCCTCCTTGAGCGCGGCTCGCTGGGCTCGCTACCCTAATAAGGGAAGGTCGCGTCTGGAGAAACTGCGGCGTGCGAAGGATGGGTGTGGTGGTGTGGTGGGGGGAGCGGGGAAGGGTGGGGGGTGTCTTCGGACTGAATTCCTTTCCGATTTTGGGGCTGCTGTTCGGCAAGGAATGCGCGTCACGTCTCGTCGTCGTCGTCAGCGCCAGATAATCCCGCGTTCCTCACACCAACTCTGTGCTCTTAACCTGACCATACCTATTTGGTATTCAACAGCTTGACATCTCCGCCCCCACCCTCCCCGTTAACGATTCAATTAAGTGTCACGATGTTCCGATTGCAATGCGATTTTTAACAACAACAAAAATCCGTTATATGGTTTGATTACCGTGGTCACGTAACAAAACATCGGCGGTGGGTTTATATGAACTTAGCACGCGAAATATGTACGCCTCGAAAATCCAGTAATCGGTTCTAATGCGCGTGATTTATTGCACGCATCATGAGCAGAGTAGAGTTTTCAATTTAGTCGAGTAGCTATATGCCTACCTGGCTCTCAGATTGCTGCTGTCATTGCTGATACTCGAGACCATTCTGTCAATCTATATACCTCGAGTCCGGTTTGTTCAGTGTCTAGAGGCATCATAAGAGACTGGTCTGGCATTGTCGAGTGACCAGATCAGGGATCGGTCTGGCATTTGTCGAGTGACCACATCAGACATCGCTCTGTTCGTCACTGCTTAGCGCAGCGTTTCTCATCCTCTCTGGACTTGCGGATCACTCACCGTCAACCACTCAAATATTTCCACGGATAATCATGCAACCAACTAATGTATTTTCTCAATTTAAACTACAGTCCTCTGAATCGTAGTTTTATTCCCATACATTCCGCGGACCATTTCCCACGGCTTTGGGGACCCACGTGGTCCCCGGGACCCCATGGATTTAGGAGCCACAGATCTGAAGACCACGGCAGAGAACATACTCTTTATTCTCCAAGAGGCACCTTCAGATACTGGTCTGCCTGTTTCCTCTCTCTGCACTCAGACCCAAGAGAAATGCTAGTAGGTTGTCTCTTCAATTGTTGTGTATGTCTGTAAGTATGTATCCATGCATGTCTGTCGCATGTGTATAGTGGGGAGTGGTGGCACGGTGGTTAGCGCGCTGCGTTACCAACACCGGCGATCCGAGTTCGATTCCCGCTCACGGCCAACACCAGTGACGATTATTTGAACCCGTCATGGGCCTCCCCTAGGTCGACTCATCCTCAAACGAGTACGCGGTGCGGTGTGTTGTAAACATCGCCACTGGGGAGACAAACGCGGTCGGGCGTGGTGGTGACCACCCACCCCCTCGTGTGCCGTGCCGGCCTTCACAGGTGCTCACTAACAGCGCTTGTCCTAACAATCTGTAAAATTCCATATGGGGATCTTTGTATATGTGATCGTCTTCTAATACAATAAAGACAATAATTACGCTTCTACTCACATAACGTGCTCAATGTGTCCACCATTGTTCCTGATACACAACTCCAGACGAGATGCCCAGTCAGCAAGCACACGGTAAATGGTATCAGGGGTAACGGTGCGCAAATGTTTAACACTGAATTTTCTCTGTGTTGACCCAGCGCCTTCAGGTGACCCCAGAGATGTAAACATCCAGGGGTGTGAGATCGGAGATTGGAGCTTCTCGCTGGCCATTACACAAGCCCTCGACGCCCGATCCAATGACCAGGGAAATATGAATTGTGATTTATTTGTATTTTCTACCTACGTGACTTTACCGAAAGAACCAAAGAGTATGGATTCCTGCAGTCACGAAAGCTTCAAATCAAGATTGAAATATGAATTAGTTATTTTTCCCTATGATTCCAGACTTATGGGACACCCTGTATATATGTATATGTACGTGTCTGTGTATGTATCTGTCTGTATGATATATTTAGTTTATTCCTTTTGTTTTTAGACCATTTATCGATTTGTTTCATTCATTTCAATTTTCTGACGGCAACATTTACTTCACATTTGCTATCAACTATGCATATAATTATGATTTTTGCAGCGTTGTGAGATGCAATTGGCATGAATGACACAATATAAAACTGACATCGTTACCGTAGTACGTGTTTTACATGCATGTATATGCATCCACATCTGAACTCTGCAGGTATGCGTGTGATCTATGAAGGTTGCGTTGACCTTCATAGGTGCTCGCTAGCAGCGTATGCCCCTTAACAGCCTGTTAAGGCTATAATGGGGATCTTTGTCTTTGTGTAAACATCATCCCTTTGGAGGCAGTGTGCCAGCCCTTAACAGGTGCTCGCAAACAGCACTTGCCTCACACGGCCTGTCACAGGCTGTATACCAGCCAATGGGCACATTCGTCTTCGTAACCAGAATCAGCATAATTTTTTTTTTACCATTTTATCTGACTGCAGGTATTGTGGTCTATGCAAGCATGACTCCTTGTAAAAAAGGTGTCAGGTTTGTCGCCAGATAAAAGGATAAAAAAACAATTATCATCTTTTTTCTTCTGGCAAATGAGGTTCCAACAGAATCAGCATATTTATCTAGACTGGAGATAATCCGATGAGCCATGAAGCTCTTTTTCACATTTGTCCACGAGGGACGGCTCAGCAAGGTAATGGTGCGCGTGTGACTGAGAACACGCGTAATGAGGTCCAGCATGTGGTGTGTGCGTATGCCATTGCGGAGGCGCGCGCGTGTCTCTTTGTCTCCGTGAAGATGACCACGATGAGATCATCTCTTCTGTCATGCAACCATCGTTGCATCACGAGTGTGTAGTAGGTGTGTGTCAGTGTGTCTGCATGTCACATTTGTGCACGCGCGTGTATGTATGGGGATGAGATAATCTCGTTTTGAGGATTGTTGCACTTAGAGTGTGTGTATGCATGTACGTGTGAGTGTGTGTATATATCTACATGTCAGTGAGTGTATATCCTCGTAGGTCATTGTGTATATATCAGTGTGTATGTGTGTGCCATTGTGGCGTGTGTGTGTGTGTGTCTTGGGCTTTTGGTCACTACGTGGGTGCCACTGCCTGTCACTGTGTTTGTCTTTGTATGGGGAGCGGTGGCGCAGTGGTTAGCGCACCGCGTTATGAACCCTGTAGACATCCGAGTTTGATTGCCGCTCACGGCCAGAACCAGTCCCTAGGTCGACTCAGCCGTGTGTAAACATCGTTACTCGGGAGACAAAGGCGGCCGGGCGTGGTGCTGGCCACCCATCCCTCTCGCGCGCTGTGCCGGCCTTCATAGGCGCTCGCAAACAGCACTTGCACCAATTGCCTATTGAAGGCAATTGTGTCAGTCCGCGTATGCTGCTGGAAGTCCCTCCCCTGCATTTTCTCGACGCTCATCCGGCACCACCGCTCCCTCCTCCTCCTGCACCCCCCATATAAACCTCCTCCCCGAGGCGACCAGACAGACCACTCGCCTCCACCCCCAACAAGGGCAGCAGACGACCCAGGGCTCGGCATCGTCTCCCACCACCACCACCCCTCGTGGCACACACCGGTGACGCGTCTCGTCACACCGCGGCTGCAGTCAAGTAAGTGTCGCTGTGACCTGGTCCAGGTGCGACATCGCCCGTCACACTCGCCATCGGAAGAGGAGGCGGAGTGTAACGCCGTCCTCAACACGAATGTCGCATTTGAACGTTGGGCGGGTTTTTTTTGTGTTTAAATATATACACGCGCGCAGAGGGTGGTTCAAAAAAAATGTTGACACGTCCGATAATTTGCGACAACGCCACACGGAACGAGACCTCGGGGCTCTGGGGGCCACCTCGGGAAGATTCCGGGCACGCGTTGACAACGAGGGCGAACAAGTGGAGGCTCTCTGACTTTTTGAAGCTGTCAACATACATTTGTTAACGCGTTGCAGTGTTTCATCCGTTAAAAACGATAGTATAAGCGTTAACATGTTTTTGAATCACCCTGTGTATATGCGCACTGTAAACACGCGCGCGCGTTCTGCCGGGCAATGTTCAAAGCCCGCGTTGCTCTGACGAAGAGGAGACTTTGAATTCACACACACACAAAAAAGCTACGAAAATTGTCGGCTTCGTGCATGTAGTCACCCACCTCCGATTGGCTACGTGCGGTGCGATAGAAGTTCAACATACAATGCTTGTGTTGTTTTATTACGCTCACAGATGGCTGTATTATTAACGCCCATTCATCACCACGTACACGCGCACGCGAAACAACACAAAACAGCAACGTCAAACCGTGCTCACTCCCACGGAGCAAAGATAAAGATCAGCCGTATAGTCTCAACCGACTTTTGGGGCAGGTGCTGTTGGCGAGCACCTATGAAAGGCCGGCACGGCACCTTGGCGGATACCAACCAAAACTTTAGGCGCACAATCTACAAATCCACGCACACACACACACCGACCGTGCAGAATCATACCACGAATTCACACACCCATCATATACACCACACACACACACTAAAACCAACACTGGACATAAGAGTTGTTTTGGGGTTAGATATATAAATATATAAATGTGCCGTTAAACCCGCCACCACCCGACACAGCCAACTCGTAAGGGTTGTCACGTCAACAGAACGTGGCCAATTCGTCACTAGTACAGCACTAGTGTATATTGTAGTGTAATATGCAGTATACCAGTACAGCACCACACCGGTGTGTTGGAGAGCCAAGCCACAACATTTACAATCAGAGTACGACGTTTCTCCAGTAATTACAACTAGCTTCACCAGGCGACAGCCAGATTTGGACACGAAACAACCACAAACACACGTTCACACACACACACACACCAAACAATCCATGACACATCTCGGCACACATCTTCCACACACGATACATACACTGCACACGCGTCCACCCACAGTGTAATTGACGATTGTGTTGGGTTCGTTTGACATTCAATGGAATGCTTTGTTTCCGACAAACCATCCACAGGACGACCTTTGTCTCAATGGGGGTTTACAAGTTAATCTGGATCTGTCTTTTAAATGCGTAAATATATAAATTATTCTACTCTTTTTTTACAGTTGAAAGAGACAATTGATGTTGGGCTTAGGAAGAGACTCTCATTGTAAACGTATTTACAATGAGGCCCTTGTTGGCGTGGTGGCATTGTGGCTGCGATGCATGCCCGTCGTCTGGGGACACGGAGTTAGGGTCGGTGGACCGCAGAGAGACGGGTACCCATTGCGGGATGTTGTGGAGCACACCTCTGACCTGTTTGGCTGTGAGTAAGTGCGCAAAGAAGGATGCACAGCAAGTAGGTTTCGTGCGGGCCCAATCGTGAGTGGTTTTCTTTTTCTCGAAAAGGCAGTTTCCTGAAGCCTGCAAAAACACTTAATAAGGTAATGGTCTCAGATCCAAAACAGGAACTTCCTGAAAAACAGTTTTAAGTTGTTGGTTTTTTTTTTGAACGAACAAGTGCTCATAAATAAATTAAATAGATTTTTGGAGTGTGATTAATAATAATTAAAGTTGTACCATTTCAACTTGAAGAGAAAGACTCAGCCTCAAATGAGGACCTGGTGCGGTGTGTAAACATCGCCACTGGGGAGACAAAGGCGGCCAGGCGTGGTGTTGGTCACCCACCCCCTCGTGTGCCATTCCGGCCTTCATAGGTGCTCACTAACAGCACTTGCCCCAGCAGTTTGTTCAGGCTATCGGTGGGATATTTGTCGTATTTAATCTTTTGGTTAAACACATGGGTACAAACGACGTTGAGTCACAGAAGAAGTTAGGAAAATTTTAATGGAAAAAATACATCACAAGCTTTTTTTGTAAGTAATGGTCGACAGAGTTGACTCACAGGCTCTCTGGAGGCTCATAACAGCTTTGTCGGAACAATGAGCCAACATTTGAGATCTGGCTTTAAAGCTTGGGCTCCAGCCACAAGTTACGTAGCAAATTTATGATCTCAGCCCAGTGACCAATGACCACACCATACATGTGAAAACCATATATGAGAAATAAATGTTGTACCTCCACATGTAAATATAATTAATATTTAGTCCGTCAGCCTCTAGGCTTTCCAGAGAAATGTTGTCCAGCAGAATTTATTTAAGCAAGCAAACTGTGGACCGGTTTCGACCTTAGAGGTCTCATCAGCACAGTCGTGCTTGTTAATGAAATGCTGCCAGGTATTATTGGCAAGAACACTTCATGTAAACGACAGGACCCCGTTCAACACAAAAGCAACATCGTACACAAACTCATTATGCATTGTTGTGCAGCCTGATAACTGAATTGCACTTTAGTTCAACACATTTCAGCTCTGATGACTACATATTTTGGCTATGTACAGCGCGAAAGAAGATTCAACATACATGCATATGATATAGCAACTCTTACATGGCATGAAGAAACATCCTCTCGTGTTGTGTAAGAGATCGATGGAAGTGCACTTACAAGAAGTACAGTACAGTACTTAACGTCGTGGTGTCATTTCCCGAGAGCCCCTTCTGGCGAAATGCCAATTTATCGGCCACCTTTATTGATAACCAATGATAACAGATCAATGCCGGGCTTGGTCAGGCATAATCCGTGACGAGGTGCGGCACCACCCGAAGACCCATCATCGGACAGCCAAACACCTCGGCTTGCCACCTGCCAGATTTGACCCGGACATCGGCTGTCAGGAATTGTTTTGTGCCAGCGATCCGCTGCTCGTGTTCCGCTTTATTGCCAAGATATTGATAACTACACCTTGACGGATCGAGAATGACGCGTGGGCTTGGTCCGTTGCAACGTTGGCAAATCCAGCCATGCCACGCAACCACAACATTCCACACCGTGGACGTTGTTTAAACACGGTAGTTAAAACTGTTTTCTGTTGCACAGAGTTGTCGAAAACGACGAGGTTTCAACTTCCAATCGAAGGTGAAACCCAGAGTGGTTGTGATGGTGCAAGTACTGTAGCATTCACGTCAATTTTTCAATACAAACCTTGTGTTTTGACGAATATTCAGCACAAATAACGACGGGGCGTTAAACCGCTCGGCGGGTGACAGTGCCGGTGGGTAAGCGCCTCATCCCGTGGCCCGGGACCGATTTCTTGGCTACGAAATTTGTGTCTGTGACAGTCGGAAGAAAAGCGAAACCCTTGCCGATGAAATTCAAGATTTTGTCTTTCCGTCAACTAAATCCCATGAAAATGGGCGCAAGACTCCTTCAGCCACATCACCATGTCCAGACACCCACGTCTCAACAACTCGATGGGAATGGGATGAGATTCTGAGGCAGGCGAAATAAGTTGTGACTCCTTCCAAAACCTCTGGCCACGCTAACTCTGCGGGGCACGAATGTACAGCCATGCTTCAGTCGACTGCTGGACAAAGGCATCCCCACAAAGTGTCGCCGCGGGCATCGTTTAGCTCCCGCTTAACCCTGCCGTTCAGTGCGGGTCAGTAAAGTGAGTGGTCTGGAAGGTCGCACTCGTCACACACACGAAGTGTTTGCCACAAATGAACCACAATACTGTACCTTGCTTATCGAGGAGCGCAAACCGTCACGCTAACTCCGGCCATAAATGAGCACCTGGTGTGGTGTACGCCCATTTCTTTAGAACTGCTTTTTGCATTTAGTGTATTTTTCGTTCCCACGCACCTCCGATGGGCGCGGTTGGCTACATACGGTGCGAAAGAAGTTCAACATACATGTAGAACGTATGTAGACGCAACAGGTGAGCGAGTGTGATGCCATCCACTCGAATCCCTCGTGTGCTCTTGAGTCAAGAAAGCGATAGCAGGCGCTGGACAGTTTTGCTCATCCATTGTGGGAGCAGCCCTGAGTTAGTTGTGAAAACTACACGTTCCTATGGCAGTGCCCAGTCTGTCGAAAAGTGAGACGAACTCCCCCCAAAAAAGGATTTTAATCCACAGCCTTAATTCCCCAATAGTGAGTGGAGCTTGCTGGCCTGAATATGTGATCACTTACATTAGAATCAGCATCTTTAGCGTTTGGATGAATCCGATGGGCTATGAAGCTCTGTCCAGTAGGGGCCGGCCAGAAAGTTACAACAACAAATACCAAAAAAACGATTAAAGTGCAAAAGAGAGAAAATGTAAGAAAGTCACTAAATATAAATAAAGGATACAGTAAAAGTCCAACTTGCATAAGTCAATTCCTGCCGATTTTTCAACACGAAATGCAAGCTTGGGTAAGGCAGAAAAACAACAACTAAAACAAACAGTCCCAGACCACATCATGATAACACAAAGTGCCCATGGCAACACCCAGAGGATCTCTGTCTCTGTGTCTCTGTGTGCGTGTGCGGTAATGCAGTGGTTAGCGTGTTGTGCTACGAACCCAGTGTACCGAGTTTCGATTTCCGCTCACAGGCAATACCAGTGACGATAATCTGGACCGGTCCTGGGCCTCCCCTAGGTAGACTCAGCCTCAAATGAGGACCTGGTGCGGTGTGTAAACATCGCCACTTGGGGAGACAAAGACGGCCGGGCATGGTGCTGGCCACCCACCCCCTCGTGTGCCGTGCCGGTCTTCATAGGTGCTGCTCACTAACAGCACTTGCCCCAACAGTCTGTTAAGGCTATACGGGGGATCTTTGTCTTTGTGCAGAGACCCAGGTGTGCGCAATGTCGCAGTGGGGCGGTGGCGCCGCGTGTGGCGTGTGCAACCAGCGCGTGTACCACGCGGAGGAGGTGCAGTGCGCGGGGGGCAGCTTCCACAAGTCCTGCTTTCTGTGCCGTAAGTGACGATCATTCACACGCGCTCGGTCAAAACCACCATCATCATCATCATCTTTACCACCACCATTACTTTCATAATCAAAACTGCTGCCAATATCGTCATCACCGCCAGCATCCCTATCATCTTCATCACCGCCGCCATCATCATCATCACCAGAAACATCACTGTCATAATTACCACTGCCACCACCATTATAATTACCACTATCATCACCACCACCATCGTTATTATATCCAGTACTATCATCATCATCACGACCACCGCTGCCACAACCATCATCATCATAACCACCACCATCACCAGTTACGTGGTGTAGCTGTGTAGCTTTTGGAAACAGTGCGAAGATGCACGTCATGTTTAGTGCTGACCTGATCACGGCTTTTCAGACAGTTGGGTGTCATCACCATTCTACTCACAGTCCATGGGATTTGGGTCACGTACTCCTTTGTTATCTGGCATGTGTTTGTATGTATGTTGAACTTCTTAATCACCGTACGCAGCCAACGGTGATAATCAGAGGTGCGGCATAGGCAAAGGATGGGTAGAGAGAGAGAGAGGGAGGGAGGGAGGGGTTGAACATTAAATCGAGGTGGTGAAATTCACTAATCCGGCTTGGAGTGGCAACTGCAGAGGATTGTGATGTGCAACATGAACTACTCCCCCCCCACCCCCCACCCACCCCCCCCCCCCCCACGCAGAGGTTTGCCGTAAGAACCTGGACAGCACGACGGTGGCGTCGCACGGCTCGGAGATCTTCTGCAAGTCCTGCTATGCCAAGAAGCATGGCCCCAAGGGCTACGGCTACGGGCAGGGCGCGGGGACGCTCAGCATGGATTCGGGCCAGCACCTCGGCATCAAGCCCGACGAGTGAGCGACGCACGCACGAAAGACAAAGAGACTGATCGGGCGAGTGCTGTTAGCGAGCACCCACGAAGGCGCACAGCGTGCCCCCCATGTGATGCGCCGCGAGCCGAGGCAGCAGTGGAGATGAGCAGAACCCGGTGCTCATATGAGCGTGGAAACGCTGGGATGGCATTCGCCATTGAGGGATGATTACACATCCATTTGGCGCAATGGTTTGGACCGATATGTGAAACGTAAAACGAATACACCAACTTTTAACATGGGTTATAATGGGCCATATTTAGAAAAACCATTTGAGCAAATTTTACAAGGTTTTGTCAAATCGGTGCCTCTAAACCGGTTAAATCCCAATTCATGTTGACCAATGAAATGGGCCGGTGTTTTGAGGAGTTTTGATGATGCAGCGGTTGTGTGCCCCCTCTCCCCTGGCGGATTCACCGCTGACCGGCGCGGTTCAATCCCATCGCTCCTCGCAGGGCGCGGCCTGGCAGCTGGGGAGGCGGCAGTGGGGAGTCCGGAGCCTCCAAGGGGGCGGGGAAGTTCGGCGGAGCTGAGAAGTGCTCGCGCTGCGACAAGTCCGTGTACGCGGCCGAGCGCGTCATCGGGGGCGGGAAGGTTCGTGTCTTTTCCTTGCACCGCTCGATGACGTTGCGTACGCTCGATGGCACCACGTGCATGTTCTCCACGGGAGGAAGCTGTGCGTAGCGGTGGCTCGCTGTGCTCTCGGGAGGGCTAGTGACGCCCCCCCACCACCCCCCTTCATGCGAGAGACACCGAGCCGACGTGGGCTCCGACCACCCCCGTGATTCAACTGGGTTTTCAAGTGCAGAAGTGCGGTGACGATCTCGGGCCCTTCTCACCAATGACTGGACACACACACACATGCAAATAATACATTGTTATTCATCGCTTATTTTGGCATAGTTCATCTCCGTGGACAACACCTCTTTTCGTGCAAAGTTTTTTTGTTTTATCATGCAAGCGTTGCACGTCGAATCTTATTGAACTTCTTTCGCACCATACGTAGCCAACCGTGGTAATCAGAGGTGCTGGGAAGGACAACAAACTTTACACAAAAAGCACAAAAGCTGTTAAAAAAATATTTATACTTGATGTGAACAAATAGACATAGGGGGGACACTGCTGACTGACAGAATAGGTAAAACGTACGCCGGCTCATATCACCCAATTATTCTACATCCTTCAGTCATCAGCAATTGTAAACTCGTGACTCTGTAAGCGTTCATCTCCCAGCAACGAGCATGAGGATATAACCAAACAAGGTTTTGGAAGAAGAAAAAAAAACAAATGAGGTTTTGAGTCTCATCAGGAGGGGGAAGGAAAAGCCTTGCAAAAGCATCAACCATCGCTTCCTCTCTCACAAACCCAATCACTCCACTTCCCGCCCTTCTGAGGGTTCTCCTCCAAGCCTCCCCCCCCTTCCCCCACGCACCTTGGCTAAAGCAACAATACGACCCGGTTTGGCCGACACTGTCTGGTTTCGGTATCGCGAAGCATTGACAAACACAAAAACCTGATACTTTTTTTGTTCCGGCATCGTGCTTGACTCATCATGCAGGGACTAAAAAGTGGAGTTACCTGAGCAGTGGGCGGGGCTTCCTTACCAGTGGGTGGAGCTACGTAGGCAGTGGGCGGAGCTACCTTGGTAGTGGGCGGGGCTACCTTACCAGTGGGCGGGGCTTCCTTACCAGTGGGCGGAGCTACCTGAGCAGTGGGCGGGGCTACCTTACCAGGGGGTGGAGCTACCTGAGTAGTGGGCGGAGCTACCTGAGTAGTGGGCGGGGCTAGCGGTTGAGTGGGCTTAGCTATGGCAAAAGTAGGGGGAGCTTATGGAGGGAAAGGGGCCACACCAGTGGGCCACACCAGTGGGCCACACCAGGTCACCACTTATCCAGGTTGAACCTCCCAAAAATAATGCGTTTTTAGATTATTTGGCCGCTATAAATGTCAACATGATAAGCCACTTCATTGAGCTATCGTTTGTGGCCAGGTCGCTTCTGAAAAAGATGCTGAAATCTCAGTGGTCTTTAGCTGGTCAAATAAAAATATTTTATTTTTATTTGTAGTGATTTGCTTACCTTTTGCACTACTATCATGTTTTTGTATTGTTGTTGTTGTCACTTTCTGACCTGCCCCGCCTCGACTAGACATCTGTGAAAAAAAGCTTTCTAGCTCATCGGATTCCTCCAGTATAAATTAAGATTCCGATTCTCTGTGTTCCCCCAGCCGTGGCACAAGCAGTGCTTTCGATGCGCCAAGTGTGGCAAGGGGCTGGAGTCCACGACGGTGACGGACAAGGACGGCGAGATTTACTGCAAGGGTAAGCACGGCGTTCGCTGCCCACGAGGCCCTGTGCCATCGTATCTCGCCAGGTGGCATTGTGCTTAGACGCAAGTCAACTTCCTCGCCATCTCTCGATGGGCCACGTAGCAGTCACCGTGTGCATGAAGTTCCAACCTGCACGGCAAGAAGATGTTTTCTCTCAAGTCATGGTTGTTAAACAGAGGCCGTATTGCGAGGGGTGACGAGCTGTGATCTCGAGTTGGGTTATATTCTGTCTAATGTTGAACCTTTGAACAAATTACCTAATCAGTCTCGTTAGATATTAAAACATAGTATAATAACAAAATAAAGGAGATTTGGAAAAATGTACCATTAAAGTTTATATAAGCCTCTAACCAAGCTAAGCAGGTATTGCGCTTAGATAGTGCTCAGATGGAGCACCACGTGCACAATTGGATGTCATAGGCTGCGGGTCTACGCTGTGGTTAGCAGAGGGCAGTACCCAAATACGTTATACTCCCACATCTATGTTGCTTGCCTTCAAGCCGCACTGATCAGCGTGGTGAAGTGCGGTCATTCAACCTCGTAACCTGAAGAGCACGGGGAGGGCCTCATTCAGCTGTGGATTGGCGAAAGTAGTGTGAATCTATAAAAAACAGAAGCTAAAGCTTCGACTGTTTTAATTTTTGTCGGCTGTTCCTCCCGTTTCGTCATCCCAACCCACTCGCTCCACTTTGCTCCCTTTCTCCCGCCGCCTCCCCACAGCGTGCTACGCCAAGAACTTTGGCCCCAAAGGCTTTGGCTTCGGACAAGGAGCGGGAGCGTTGGCCCACGCGCAGTGACACGTGGGCGACCCCACCCCCCCATTTCTCGCGGACGCAGGAGCCGCCGTTCCCACCATCGCTCTGGAAAAAAATCCAGCGGTGGGCGAGGGCTGACACCAGGCCCTTCTTTCGCCACTCCCCTTCGCCCCCACCTCGTCGTCGGCAGCGACGTCCCACATTTTCCTCGCGTGTCCACGTATGTTGGGGGAGTGCAAATTGACACATCGGCACTCGGAGAAGGACGACAAATACAGCGTGTATTATTTGGGCCCATAACATTACCTTGGGGGCTCCTCAAACTGTGTTAATGATTTTCAATAATCCGACAAAAGCCTCTTAGGCCCCAGAGCAACCTGTAAGATTATCTACTGCTTGCACGTGTACACAATCCAAATATGATCACACAGGCGAGGTAGATAAGTGTGTTTGAGACTCCTTAATTGCTCCGCTGTGAAGGTGGTTATTAAAAGGGCAGTAGAGCAAGTAGGTTGCTGACCAATCTGCATATAGAGCTTTTAGAATAACTCTTATTTGCTTGTGTTGAGAAATCGAGACAAACAACGCTGCTGGGAAAATAAGTGCCTTCACGCTGACTTGAACTTTTCCTGAATAATTATATAGTTTTTGTATATTCAGTGGGCACTCCTCCCTCTTCCAAGATGTATGGTCAGGATGGACGAGTAGGCCAAACACCCTCGAGAGGAACTCCCTAGAGAGCCAGCAGTGGAGGCCTTTCTGCCAACTGTGGCATGAACAAGCGATTTCAGGACTGCACCTTTACCTGTGCTAAATTTAAATTGCATTCAATAACTTGCGAAATCCCAAAAACATCCGACTAAATCTTCCAAAACATCCTTAAGTGCTCCTAACATGTTGGATCAAAACAAGCGATAACAGCCTTTCAGATTTCAACAAGAGCCCGTTTTTTAGAACGGCGCACCGAGTTACAAAACGCCTCACGATACCCCCCCCTCCACAGCAACCTGGCAACCCAGAACCACATTCTCACGGCCTCATAAATTTAACTGACCGCAGGCTTGCCCATGACTTGCTTCCTGATGAGTTGGGGAGACAATGTTCTCTGGCTATCACGCTCACCATACGCATGTGATTAACGTCTTATGCTGTGGTGATGAATGTCCACTGGCACATGTTGGTGTCTGTAGATTGTTAGCTTACGACTTCTCAAGTGGTGCAGCATTGCGTGGGTAAACAATATTTGTCAAAGCTTCGGTTTCTTAATCCTCAAATAATTATAACAGCCGATTTTACATTGAAATCAAAAATCTAAATAAATCCATTCTAATATAGCTTTATAATATTCAATATTCTTGGTTCTTTCGGTAAATAATAAAAATATTAAACAATACAATTCTATAATATAAAACAATACAATTCTAGTGAGAAGTTTATTGTTTTAAATTTTTATTATTTTATTGTTCCCTTCTACGTGACTTTACCGAAAGAACCAAGAATATAATATTCAATAAGTGTTATACTATGCTTAAGCATTACAATCGTTACGTTGCAGGATGGCTTGGAGAGGCCTTCATCCAACAGTTGATTGTTCATGGCTGCTGATGATTATGACGATACTAACATAGGATGCATTTTCTGAGACTGCCCCCAGCCACAAAAACGTGTAATTTCCATCACTGGATCAGAATCGTACGTGAAGATTCGAATCCCCCCCCCACCCCCATGTATGTTACTGTAGGAAAACACTTTCAAATATATATTTTCAACTATAATAAAGTACTAAGTAAAGTCCATTGTCGGTATTCGATAAATATACGTATATTATTTCATAACTTTGCAGATGATTGTAAAACTAAAAAATGCTGCATCTACTTACTTGCAAGTTTGGTCAATGTGAGACAATGGAAACACAGCGCTTTACTTCGTTCCAATTTCTTTTTTTTATCTCGCAGGATCGTTTACATTCCACAAGTTGTTTCCACATTGCCGTTGAATGTCGAACTGTACCATTTCTGGGGGTTGCGGCCAGATGAGCTGAAGGACCTTTTAATATTCCATGAAAAATCTGTAGAGTAGTTCACTTGTTCCTAAGCATGTCCGTACAGCAGTTGTCCCTTGTTCCGAAGCGCCGTGGCTTTTGGGGACCCTGGCCATAGGGCATTGACCTGATTGGCACCTAATTCTAGATTTGAAGTTTTCGGGACAGCAAGGATTCATACTCTTTGGTTTTTTCGGTGAAGTCACGTAGGTAAAAAATAAATTAAATAAATGAAAACAACTAAATTAAATCACGACGTTTTGGGTGCAACACAAGCGTCCGTCTGCAGGTGTTCGCTACGTTGTCCACACCTGAAGAAGGGCGCTTGTGTTGTGCCCGAAACGTCGTGATTTAATTTAGTTTTAATTTATTTCATTTACTGATTATCACCGTTTGAAATCCTACATTTGAATCCTGAGCTTCAGCACGAAATTTATTCCGAGAGCGTAAGCAAGCGAAGTGATGGAATTCGTGACTGGTTAGTACTCTGACACTGCCCATTATGAGCCCCCTTAAAAGACAACCGTGCAGACAATGTAGACATCTCTAGCACAAGTCTGACACTAAAATGTGTAATCTTAGGTTCATTAGTTAGATCTCTACCGCAAATACACTAGTTTTGTATCATTTACGTCTGTTGCGCGATGAAACGGGATGACGTGCCGTTGTCGTTCGAGCATTTTCACTTTCATTAAAACCTTACACCAAATGTGTGTGTGTTGGCAATCTGTGCAGACGCGTGGCTGCAAGGGTTAGGTAGGCTTCTGGAGTAACGTGTGACTAATCATATTTCCATACACTGGTGGTGTGTTCGTAATCGGAGGCTGCCGCTGCTATTGGGAGAAAGAAAGAAAGACAGCCGTGCAGCAATGGAGCCATGTGCCACATCTGGATGGATTGCTGCATTTCTGAACTGATGCATGGCCAATCAATGGCTTGGGGAGGTCTTCATCCAGCAGTGGATTGATCATGGACGATATCCCCCATGAATATCCACTTTGCCAGTGGTGGAGGCAACTCATCATTTTGCAGGTGGAGCTATGAATTAATAGATTCATAAATACTCATAAATGTTCTTAAATCCATCATCCCGTCGCCTAAAGCTAATCAGTCCTGAGCCTAGAAAATGCTTGGATTGATGACTATAAAAGCATGTGTAATCGGCATTGTTGGGCAGTAGAGGGCAGTGCAAGAAAAATCCATTGATTTTCTGTACTGTGTTGTTCCCAAATTCACCAACCTGTAATGGCCAGTTTGGTAAAGTATGGTTAAATGAAACTCACTCCGCCTGCACGGTGTGTGGGGAGTCCCTCGGCAGTGGATTTGCAAACGGAATGTGCATACATGAGTCATGGTAATGGTAGATACAGTAATACAGTTAACGTGTGGAAGAATACATATTTTTAGTCTTCGAATCACATGCAAATTATATTGTGAGGGGTGAGGGGCCTGAAACATAATTGGCTAAGGTCGTCTTCCCTTAACAAAGATGGCCACCCACTGGAAGTTAAAAATCAGAATTCCCTTAACCAAGATGGTCACCAACCGGAAGTGTAATATCAGGTTTCCCTTAACCAAGATGGCCACCCACCGGAAGTTAAATATCAGGTTTCCCTTAACCAAGATGGCCACCCACCGGAAGCTAAAAATCAGAATTCCCTTAACCAAGATGGTCACCAACCGGAAGTGTAATATCAGGTTTCCCTTAACCAAGATGGCCATACACATGAAGTTAAATAGCAGGAATCCCTTTACCTTTCTTACGTATGGCTGATTTAGATACAGAGCAACAACTACAATTTTGCATGCGGTCAAGCCAGGCAAACGCATCATTGCATCGTTATTTGCTGTATGGTGTGTTCTGGATGACCACAGTCGGAGGATTTTTTTTTCGCAGCTGCCATGGTGTCCGCATCTGCCATGGTGTGTGTGCAGTGGATGCGGTTTCGGGAGGACCGTGAGTTTCGTGGACGATCTAAACCCAGGGAATCTGAAGCACTAACAATCGCATTGGATTTCCTTTACAAAGGTGGTTGCCCATTACCCAGGATGTCCCTGTGCAAGATGGCCGCACATTACCCAGGAGGTCCCTGTGCAAGATGGCCGCCAATGGTTCACAAGGTCCCTGTGCAAGATGGCCGCACATTACCTACGAGTTCCCTTTGCAAGATGGCCGCCCATTACCCACCAGGTCCCTGTGCAAGATGTCCGCCCATTAGCCATGAGATCCCTGTGCAAGATGGCCGCCAATTACCTACAAGTTCCCTGTGCAAGATGGCCACCCACTACTCCCGAGTTCCCTGTGCAAGATGGCCGTCCATTACCCACGAGGTCCTTTTGCAAGATGGCCGTCAATTACCCTGGAGGTCCTTTTGCAAGATGGCCGCCAAATACCCACAAGGCCCCTGTGCAAGATGGCCGCCCATTGCCCACAAGGTCCTTGGTGCAAGATGGCCGCCCATTGTCCACGAGGTCCCTGTGCAAGATGGCCGCACATTACCTAAGAGTTCCCTTTGCAAGATGGTCGTCCATTACCCACGAGGTCCCTTTGCAAGATGGCCGCCCAATACCCACGAGGTCCCTGTGCAAGATGGCCGCCAATTACCTACACGTTTCCTGTGCAAGATGGCCACCCACTACCCCCAAGTTCCCTGTGCAAGATGGCCTCCATTACCCACGAGGTCCCTTTGCAATATGTCCGTCTATTACCCAGGTACTTTTGCAAGATGGCCGCCAATTACCCACAAGATCCCTGTGCAAGATGGCCGCCCATTGCCCACGAGGTCCCTGTGCAAGATGGTCGCCCCTGTTAAACTGTCGCACTTTAAGAAGACGTCACCGTCCACCAAGACCCGCTCCGTTTTCCATTTCGTGATGGCGCGCGGTCTGCACGGTGAGGCGTGGGGGATTGTTCCGCTCGCGTTGCTGTTTAACTACATCCACGCTACTCCGTTGTTGTCACCGCGTGCATACATGCCGTCGATCGTGTTAACTTGGTAATGCGTTGCGTAGCGCGTTGGTTAAAGTGGTCTTAACTTTATTACCCGTCGTTTGGTTTGTGTTATCCAACGGAGGCCTTTCTGACTAGGCCGCGTATTTTCGGGTGAAAATGTTCAACGTTTAAAGTGGAACATGACGTTTGTTTTCTAGCGATATATTTACACGTCGCATCCAGACTGTGTGTTTATACAAACTATAGTCTACATATTTGCACTCAAGTTTCGTTCGTGGAAGTTTTAGTCGCGGTGCTATCCATAGGAATCTGGAATTTCCGCCTTTTGATTGTAAGGAACATTTTGTTTTATCACAAATATATACGACGGCAAGGTAGCGGTGGACATGTATTTTGGGGAAGCGTGATTCAAATAATAGCGCTGCGGTATGTTTGTTAGAGAATGGTTATCGAAATAAAAACGTTACATCGTGTGCAGTATTTAAACACGCTACGATACCAAGAAGATGAATCCCTGCAGTCACGAAAGCTTTAAATCGAAATTTAACCGCTACGATAAGTTTGCTCTATCCGTGTTGGCTACTGGTAGCATCCAGTACGCCTGTAACGTCGTGAGCTCTGTTAACCCGTGGCTCTCGCTACTCGCCTGGCCCCGACTGAACCGTGGGGTCTGGCATGCGTGTGGCCACGGAGAGAAACACCCGTGAAAGGGGGGAGGAATCTGCCGACAGGACCCGTGGAGACGTGGGGTCCCCTGTGCGATGGCTCCTTACATGCGCGCACACACACAAACGCAATTACCCACAACACACATTTCACACGCACAACAACAACAACAACCCCCCCCCCCCCCATACACGCAGTTCGTGAATGGAACTAAAATTGAGCTCTAGATGAGAGCCCAGCCCAGTCCGTGATGACAAACACTGCGCAAATCTGACGAGCTTCGGTGCCGTGTGATCTAATGGACTATTGTACCTGAGACTGGGCTGTGTGTATCTACCAAGGACTGAGTTGAAACTATGGATACTGCATGATTTGCCAAAGACCGGTCTAAATTGCGTAATTGTCGAGATTCTAAACTCGTTTGCACTGTGTATCATTTCAGGCTGTTGGTGGCTTTGACTGGAGAAAGGAGGGCCATTCCAGCTCAATATCCGGAGATTCTCACAATCTTCGTGTTTGTTTTGTGTCGTGGAAGATAGATGAAGAATGAAACGGGCCATTTTTCACTCCGTAAAGAGCTACCGAGATGCGTATCCTCTGCTTGTCTCTCAAATTTAGTTCTACCTGACGACGATTGCTTGTGTTGCAATCGAAACGTCGTATTCTATTTCATTTATTTTATTTCTACGTGACTTTACCGAAAGAACCAAAGAGTAATTCCGGCAGTCACGAAAGCTTCAAATCAAGTTTTAACTACTAGACTGTTTATTCTAATGTATAGTGTGGTATTTAATGGAGTTGCCAAGGAATAGAAATTCCGGAGTAAAATGCTAAAAGGGAAAAATGGAAACGTTGAAAATGTAGTGAAAAAACTAAAGTAATGGAGCAATTAAAACTCTCATACCGAGTTTAAAGGTGAAATTCTAATCCTGAAAGGAAGATTTGGCCAACATACCCAATATCTCCATTTCGTGGAGGCCCTTGTGCCAGAATGGCTTGAGCAAGCAATTGTCAACGTTACATTTGAGAAAATGGATGTCAACGACTAATGCAGGAATGTAGGAGGAACATCTTAATTTGATTTGCTGTAAAAGATTGACCGGAGCAAAAAGAGCTCTTAGTGTTGAGATTATCCAGAACGGCTACATTAGGCACCAAGTTTAGATTACCTTTAATCTTTATTCTGAACCATGGAAATGTGTTTTCAACCTTTTTGCAGGCTGCTGCTACAAAGTAAAATAGTTTTACACTGGATGTATCAATTTTTGGGGTTATTTTACTTTGTAAAGGTTTTCTGCATTGAATGTAATGTAGATTGTATTTTGTACCCCGTTTCCCCGTTTAAATGTTGTGTTTTCATGGACAATGTTCACTTGATCATTATTAAAAGTTCAAAAGGCAATGTTCCATGGGTTTTATTTAAAAAATGAAACGCTATGTCTTGTATTACAGATTTCCAGAGATTTTTGGGTTAGATGGCGTACAAATATAAATGCGTCATTAAAACCAACGTCGTACTGTGTTAGTAATGTTGTGGCTTGGCTCTCCAACACCGGTGTGCTGTACTAGTGACGAATTGTCATCGTCTGTTTACGTGACAACCCTTACTAGTTGGCTGTGTATTTATGCGATGGAACCCAAAAACCTCTATGCAGTGAAAAGTTACCAGTTAAAACTCATTTAATCTCATTACGTTATACAACGTTTAGGCTGCCAACCGATACAGCTTTTGGAATTCTCACCTCAAACTTGTGGATTTTTTGGAGCACTTTTGGCATCACTTCATGCACTGCAATACCTGTTTTCCACTAAACAAATGGGTCAATCTGGTGCCCAGAAAACCAGACTGCTCCAATGTGCTTGTGAAAAATGGGAGTTTGCTAAACTTTTCCAGTACGGCCTGTCCTAAAAAGGTCTTAATATAGCTCAGGACTGACTGCCAATGTCACAATTTGGTTAAAATATTTGTTTCCATTTTCTCACCTCTGCTTCAATACCATTCATGCAAATGATTGATACATAGTAATCGATGACTGTACACTTTAATGCATTGTAAAACCTCTTAATCATTGCATGCCGAATTATAGTGCCAGAATGCAACTCATCCTAAAATAGTACCCTTGCCATGCATATCCCGAATCTCCAAACTTACACAAGTGTGGTATAACCTGAATCTTGCAACATTGTCGGTGCTTGTGTTAACGTAGTTACTAATTCAATTATCCACAAACGCAAACCCGATTAACTCTTTAGTAATAAACACTTAATATGCACTGAACTGTGCTGCTTTGCGTGGATGACTTATAAGTGGATCTGCAAAGTTTCCTGCAGTGTCGAAGTGGTCCTGGTTAGCTGGGTGGCACGTATGTTGAAAAATGTTCACACCATAGCCAACTATTCAGAAGATTAGTTCAAATCCCCGTTGGGGTAAACATCCCTCCGAGGTGGATATGAATGCCACTTTGAAAAGTGGGTTTACACAAATCCCTGCCATAAAAATGGGAAATTACCACTATCCAACACTCATGTGAGTAATGTATGAATGTGTATAACTTGTGATGAGACATGATCAACATCCTATAAAATCAGACTGCACGTCAACAGGCCAAGTCAAATGCAATTGAATTTGACAAAAAAAAATTCTAAGCCCAATGATTTACCACAGCCCACTGCAGCCATAATGTAATATATACAAGTGGTTATAGAGGCTTGGGAACATGTGTCAAATCAATTATCAATGTTTGATGTATTCTCTTAATACCATCCTTTATATACATATTATACAATAAGTGCATTGTTAAGGGCTGGTTTGAGAAATCGGGTACCACGATTTGCATTGAAACTTGGCCCCACTAGGAATGTGGAATTTCTACTGACGGGGGATTCCCCAAGGCGTTTAATAGTACTCTTAATGTATCAGAAAGGGGACACTGTCTCAAGCAGCAGCGTTAATGCCTTAAAAGCCCCCAGCTCCAACTGTAAAAGTGTCTCGGTGGCTTCGTTTCATCCACATTGTAAGTGCTTCACTTTAGGCGAAGGCCTTAAATCTCATCCAAATGATGTGCACGAGAAGGCGTAAAATGGGTTTGGTTAAATCATTAATTCCAAGTGCCGCATGTGTTTGCAATACGAACAACGCTTTGATCAATGTACTTTCCAGCAACAATTTTCCCATATTAACAATAACTGGATTTTCTAGACCACATTCAAACTTGTACTCTTTCCAATTTACATTACAAAGTGAATTCAAAGTGGTAAACAATGCTTCCCCAATTTAATTAGCAGTGGAGCCTCCCACTATACAACTCACTTCCAACTCAGTGTGGCAAGTGGCAGAATCAATAAAAAGTCTCTTGCTCCGGTCATTGTGTGGACCCAGCAAGCCATGATATTCTGCAAAGAAAAGTGATGTAGGGATTTGCAACAGGCAATTGATACTGTCCATAGGTTTTTTTTGGTGAGATCGCATGAAAAAAAATGTTGTTAAACCCACCAACACTCCACATGGCCAATTGGTAAGGTTTGTTCACGTTAACAAAACGTGCCAATTTGTTACTAGTACAGCACACCGGTGTGTTGGGAGAGTAAATACACAATGTACAATTCGAGTACGACCTTTCCCCAGTAATTACAACCGGCATCAGGCGACAGCCAGATTGTGACGGGTTTAACGACATTCATATGTACGCACTCTAACCCAAAAAACCTCATGGATAATATTGGTCGCGAGATCCTACGTCATTGGAACCTCATATGCCAGTAAAAAATATAATAGTTTTTTTACCCTTCTATCTGGCAACAAAACTGACACCTTTTTGTTACAAGGAATCATGTTTGCATAGACCACAATACCTGTTTTTTGTTTGCATTATGGCTGCAGGTATTGTGGTCTATGCAAACATGATTCTGTGTAAAAAAGGTATCGGTTTTGTTGCCAGATAGAAGGATAAAAAAACAATTATCGAGATCCTACGTGTGAACTAATACTGGTTTGTGATTTGCATCGCTCCTGAATCACCTCTTCAAAAATGGAGGAAGCCGTCCACGATATATATTTTTATATAAAAGTCAATGCAAATCAGTCTTGGGCTATGTACACATGTAGAATTATTTTAACAACTTAACAATATCACCAAGAGTGTTGAACAAAGTTATGATTTTTCCAAGACCAAGACAAGAATCAACAAGAATTGAACAGCGCATGACCTTGGTGTGTTGTGACATTCTGAGTAACACAGTTGACCCATCCGATTAAATTGTTCAATCCATAATGATATTAAGGCAGCTTCCACATCCTGGCTTGGGCCAACCTATACCGCACAATCAACCTCATCAAAGATCGTTTGGGACATCTTCATTCCTGTGTTCTAGTTAAAACTAACAGTAACTGTTTTGCAAACAAAAATCTACACGTGTACACACCTTTACCCAGTCAGGTTGGGCGAATGCAGAGGCAATGAGATATTACAGCCGTGTGTGTTGTAGTTAATGGTGGGGCCTCAAGGCAAAGTAGAGGTACCGTTTCACACTTGGGGGGGGGGGGGGGGGAAAGGGCACACTCTCTATTCATGAGTGCAAACCATGCGATGGAAATAAACAAAACATGTGGATGGCATATAGGGCTTCCAAAACGCCATTCCTTCCCTCTCCCACAGTATCATCCCAGATTTCTAGGTTTCTCCCCAATTATGTCTTCAATCTCCCTATCTCAGTCATCTTATACCCCTCTGGCCTTTCTGGACTCGATCCTTCCTTGCCTGTCTATCCTTCCTCCTCTATAGGTACCCCCATGCCCCCACCACGTCATCCCGTTCCTTCCCCGTGCAACCCTGTCAGTAGGGGTAGAGCGGATGCCACCAGGACAGGATGCGCACGCTGACCTGGTGGTGCCCGTTCTACTCTGCCTCGCCTCTATCCTTCGTCGCCTTCCTTGCCTCTCCCCCTGCCATCCCTTCCCTCCCTCCCTCCCACGTGCGACCCTGTCAGTAGGGGTAGAGTGGGTGCCACCAGGGCAGGATGCGCACGCTGCACACGGGGTCGAGCACGACGAGGGGACCGGCGTCGATACGACGGCGCGTCCGCCCGCGCGGAGCTGGCGAGTCGACAAACGCCAGCTTGACGCGGTGGTGCCGCATGTCGGTGCTCACGGAGATCATCAGCTGCGCACGCAACGGGCAAACGGCACGAGCGCACCGCGTCACGCAAGCACAATACGTGGCACGCGCTGAACGTGCGCATTGTCAACATGTGCGGAATACGATACGCGGCACAACGCAAACAACAAGTACATGCACAATACTCTGGGTCTTTCGGTAAAGTCACGTAGATAGAAAACATTTTTTTTCTATCTACACGACTTTACTGAAAGACCTAAAGAGTATGAATTCCTGCAGTCACGAAAGCTTTCAAGTCAACACGCACAATAGGAACACAACGCTCAAACAATCCAAGCACATGTAGAGTGCATATACAATACAATGTAAGCCCAATGCTTACTACAATTGGAGTGCGCAACGCAAATAAAGCCAATATAATAAGGGTGCTCCCCCCCCCTCTCCCCTTACCTGCGAGAGCGTCATGCCCATGACGACGGGCACGAGGATGAAGTTGAGCACCGTCACCTGCAGCAGGCAGCAGTCGCCGTCCGCGTTCTCGCTCACCCCCTGGTACTCGCGCGGCACTGCCAGGGCTGGCCGTGTCACCCCCCTGGGCGTCGGCCCTGTCCCCCCCTGCGTCAGAGCACAACACCGACCACCGCACGCATGCGTCATTCCACCGCCGCCTCTGCGATTTGATGAATCATCACGATTGCATACGCACGCACGACACATTTTGCTTGGATGTAGATGTTATATTTAGCAATGTAATTCAAATGCCGTGACTTTAAGCTTTCGTAACTGCAGGAATTCATAGTGTGGGTCTTTCGGTAAAAGCACGTAGGTAGGTTCAAAGAAAAAAACAAAAACCTACGACGTTTCGATCGCATCAGGCTGATGACGACCGCTGGCGTTGCAATCGAAACCTCGGAGTTTTTTGTTATTTTCATTGACCCAAAGAATAGCAATTTAAATGCCATTTGTTAATCCACTGCTTGATGATGGCATCCGCTCACTGTCTTGAAACATGGGTGGGGGTCGTTTGACTTCACCACACTTGGCAATGTGGGTTGATGAGGGGGCTGTGACAGGACCAGTTCAAATACCACTCGCCACTGATTTTAGCCATGAACAGTAAACTCAGGTCAGAGTTCAGTGCAGTGTACGAACCTCTTAACCATCGCTACTATCAAATTACTGAGGGTAATGTTTCTAGTTGCAATCCGCACTGCATAGTTGAGAAAGGTGGTGGTGCTTTGGCAGCTCAGATCCATTGGGGGGAAATGCCCCATTCCCTTGGTGGTGAGGGCTTTATCTCCCCATTGGATGATCATTGCTCATTTCCCAAAGGGATGAACAAGCAGTCAACCCACATCCAGGACTTGACTCACAAGCTACAGGTACATTTCAATGTCAACGACGCGACAATCAAATGGTTGAGTCATTTTGATTTATAAATCTGCAATAACTACACAAGAATCCACGCTGTACATCACTCACACCTCAGGAATGTCACTCGTGAGCGAGTTGGTGAAAATGCAGCATCTTGGAAGCCAGTGCTGCAGAGTTCTGGATCTCACCTGTTTTCTAAATTTGAAGTTGAACTCCCACTTGTGCTGCTCCTGGCTGTGTGTGCCGCAGTTCACCCTTTTGTGCCATGACATGAGGCACTTGGGCAGACAGCAGAACAAGAGCACAGGAAACCAACGTGCAATGTCACTCCCAGACGAAGCAACGAATTTCATTTGAGTTGTGTCCATTCGACAACCAAGTTATGAACACATTCCTGCGGAGGGAGCTGGTAGGAACGTTGGGTTGCTCGGTCAATGGCCAGGGTCAACGGCGGCGTGGTGTATTCCGCAAATATGCCCGACTGTGAGGGCGGGCACAAGCCGGCGTGAGTAGGTTAAACATTGAGTTTTATAAGGGCACCACGGGGTGACCAGCCCCTCCCCACCCAGCCCCACCCCCCACCCTCCCCACCCAGCCCCTCCCCACCCTCCCCATCCAGCCCTCCCCACCCAGCCCATCCCAGCACGACGAACGGACACAATAATCCCCTGTGGGCTGGTGTAACCAGGAGGTTCCTACCAGTAAGAAAACTACGACTTTCATACAGCATATGAGGACTGAAAGGGCAAATTACTGACCCAGTGGACATCCAAACAACATGCACTTTAGATGTTATATTCTATCGCACTGGGGCTTTCTGCAGGGTGTCGGGGCGTGCTTGTGCACTATCACACTGTGGCTTGCTGCAGGGTGTTGGGGCGTGCTTGTGTACTATCGTACTGTGGCTTGCTGCAGGGTGTCGGGCGTGCTGTCGGGCAGTGGGGGCAGGTCCTGCACGCGGCTGCGGAACGGCTCGTAGAGGTGGCACAGCGAGCGCACCACGTTGGCCTTGAGGCCGCGTTGGCACCGTGCCACCTCCTCCAGCTGCAGGCGTGCGGGCAGCTCCGCACCACGGTGATAGTATCTGCACGCGCACAGAACGCAAACGTCCCGCGTGAAACCTGCACAGGCTGTCGGGGTGGGCGCTGTTAGCATGCACCCAAGAGGGCCGGTGCAGTGCACAAATTGCCCCTTTGTCAGAAATTTACGTTAAAAAACCTAGCGATTGATGGGCAACTCTTCAACCAACCCCAGTTCTTTATGCAGGGGGTAAACAAGATTACATCCTTCACTATAAAGCCAATTTCACGTGGATGACTACCAGCATTCACGATGAAGTGCGCAATAAGCGTTTCACACATATACAAGACTTATGCATGAAAATATTTAACATAGGCAAAGCAGTTTTGCTGCACAGCTTGAGTTCGCATGACAAAAAGAAAGTTGACCTATGTGCAGTCAAGGAGTGGAACCAGTGAGGGGGCATTTGGTAATGTGTCCCACAAAACTACGGTTTTAAGTTCTCGCTTGTTATGGAATAAAAATTATTCAATGTATAAACAACTCCCAATTAGAAACGTTGTTGGTTGTGTAAGAACAAGTTTGTGTACAGTAGCAGCACTTTTTTGTACCGTAGTTCATATTCACACTGCAGTTAAAATATTATATAGTTGATGCATGCTCCATAAGTTAGCATTAACACGTACAATATTTAATATTGCATTTTACCCACATGAGTGTAAAAATTTGAAATTTATAGCAAGCGAATAATATAAACTTAAGTTTCTGAATGTGAAAGAAAAAAACCAGAGGACCCGGAGAAAAATACACGTGACCACGGGGAGAGAAAACACGCAAACTCCAAATATACAACAGACGTCAAAAGGTTGGGGATCGAACCCACGAGCTCCTGCACACGAGGCGAGGTAGTTCAACATCTCGCCACTGTGACACCCTCTTGACATCACACGCGAAGCCCTCCAGCCAGGCCCCACCTGCGGTAGAGGCGAGCCCAGAAGACCGTGGTGCAGGTGACGAACCACGCGCGCTTGGAGATGAGCGCAAAGCGGCCCACGTCTTCGGGCCGGATGTACGCGGCCAGCAGCAGCCAGAGATCCATGGGGAACTCCTGCCCTCCCTCGTCACCATCGTCCTCTGCCTCTACACAGCGGGAACATTGTAAAAAGAAAGCGTTGTTTAGTTGCGACGCACTAACAGAAGCATGTTTAATCGGTAGTATAGCCGTCTGTTTACATCTTGAATTATTGCGTTTGTCATTTAAAAAAAATATTTTGCCAGAAAATAAAATGCATCTAATGGAGTAATGATATGAAGATGTTTTGCAAAGCAGACAATACGATTATCGCCGTAGACCTTACATCGCACGATATATTGCAACATCATCATATCACAGCAGCCCTTAATGTAAACGGCTCGTGAGCCATCGCGCAGGAAGAAACTGAAGGAGCTCACTGCTGGCCGGCTTGCTTCTCTTCTTGCGGCTCTTGGCGTTGGCGTGATGCTGGGACTGCGACAACTCCTCCCCGAAGTCGGCACAGTCCGTGTCGTCCGAGTCACAGAGGCCGGCATCCCCCAGCTGCACGCCAACCCCCGTCACAGGCACCATCGACGCCTCCAAGCCACACAGCAGCTTTGCTGGGACACAAACCACGCACAAAGACAAACATCTCCTGTATAACCTACACAGCCTATTGGGACAAGGGCTGTTATAGCCAAGGGTGGCACAGTCGGGTTTTTTACAATCGGGTTTAATTGTCTTTTATATTAAACCCGATCATCTGAGATTGGGAGAAACCCGGTTTAATTGGTTCTAAAAAAAAAAACCCGATGCCTGCCGCTGGAAAAATCGGGTTTTTTCCACCCATGGTTATAGCAAGAACCTATGAAGACCAGAACAGCACAAGGGGCGGTGGTTTGGCCCGTACCAAACATGGCCGCCTTCATCTCTCCAGTGCTGATATTTATACGTATGTGTATGTATGTCAAACTTATTTCGCACCCTACACAGCCAACTGTGCCAATCGGAGGATCCGGGGAAAGGACAACAAACTCAACACAAAAAGCAGTTCTAAAGAAAGGGGCATACACCACACCAGGTGCTCATTTATGGCCGACACATATTTCCATATTTCACCTTTAATATCACTTGAGATGGAACATCTCCTTACGAAGGGCATCCAGAGTGTCGATTGACACATAGATCGCTAATACGATTTGATGTGGGAGAGGCCTAGAAAGTGGTTCCGATACCACCCGTCACTAAAGATAGCAGTGGCCAGGAATCAAATTCAAGTCGCTACATTCATAGCAGTGCATGCAGATCATCATTGCAGCTACGCTCCTCCACTGCTCCCTATAAAAAACACACACCGAATGATGCAATAGCTTCCCTTTGCTCAGCAATGCAGACGTAACGAACGTGCCAAGTCTATTACGAGCACAAGCTCTCGCCGTGTAGACACAGGGTTCCTAGAAAATGTTCGATAACTTTCCAGACATTTTCAAGACTCTTAGGGTTCATTCTTAATGTCTGACCGTTAGAGACATGTTTCAAGATATTCACGCAGACTTTAATCGTTGATAAATTCTGCATAATCATTTGGCTGAATGGACTTTCCAAAAGTCATTCCGCAGCATGGTAGCGTAATATTACAACAAGGCATTTGTATCGGGTCATTTGTATTCTGGGGAAAGGAGGCACCACCATTTACTTCATGGCAAGAGAGAGACTCGGTCATAACATAGAGCAGAGGAAGGTCTTGAGCTTGGAATTGAAGAGGGGTAAGAGAGTGACAACTCGAATGTCTGGGGTAACGGGGAGTCCCAGACGACAAGAGAGCCAGCCACACATAGCTACAGACGACTGCCCAAGTCCACAGTGCTGAAGAGACCACACCTCAACCGCGGTGTTCTCACCTTCTTTGTGTATGGCGTTCACCATGGCCTTCTTCACCCGCCCGGACTTTACCACCGCAGGGTCTGTGTTGGCGAAGTCCGCGACGGTCACTGCACGCACACACACAGACACGTCAATCCATGTCGCGTCACACACACGTTGGACGGATTGTAAAGTTCAAACGCACAGGTGTCCCACAGTGAGATTGCCTGCTTAAGTTATGGGAGTTGATTAATGACACCACATCCAATGGGAGCTTTCCTATAGTAGGATGTTTGCTAAGGGAGGGGGGGGGTCTTAAATTATGATGGGTAACATCGTCGAATTTAAATAGAGGCATCGCACATGAAGGTGGCCTTCTTAGGGCGGTGCTAACATTTACGAAATTACATTCCAATACAGAGCTATCCCACAGTAAGTTATTATTACTACGTGCTGTAGAGGGGCATTTAAAATCAGTCTCATGGCCTACAGATTCCAACCGCCAGCGTCCCTTTGGCAGTCAAGTTTAGTAAACAAAAACTGCATTCCATGTAGGTTTTTTGTTGGTTAGATCGCGTAAAAATGTGTCGTTAAACCCGCCACCACCCGACACAGCTAATTAGTAAGGTTTGTCACGTGAACTGAACATGCCAATTCGTAACTAGTGCAGCACACCGGTGTGTTGGAGAGCAAATTCCACAATGTTGTGGAGATGTTGTAGATTTGCTCTCACATTAAAGTAAAGGAATTAAATGTAATTGTTTCTGTTTGATTTTCCTTCATTCGCATGGTGAGTTACACAGATAAAGTTACTGTTCTGGATCGGCAACACGTTATACTTGATGCAATGGGTGTTTACTTGTCATATTATTTGCACGGACCGTAGATATCACGCCACGGCTAAACTGCATAATCATTAACCACAACGATCTTCATGATGGTGATTGCGTTTATGACCCTTGAGCTACACACGATTTAAACCTTTAAAACGGACTGCATCAGCAGCTTTTCCCCCTCTTTTTTCTTCCTGATGACGAACGCTTGCGTTGCGATCGAAACGTCGTAGATTTTTTGTTATTTTCTTTGAACCTATCTACGTGACTTTACCAAAAAGACCCAAAGAAGATGGTTATTTTTTTTTAAATAACCTTTTCACCACCATAAACCGGTCAAACAACTGCTGTTAGCCAATTGCGGAGATGAAGCCAGCTAATAATGTTCTGTGTAAGGCATCCTCGTGACCATCGTCTGGATGCCAACGGCGCCGTACACTCTGAATTGTCAATGTTCTAAGTGGTTTAAAGCTTTCGTGACTGCAGGGATTCATATTCTTGGTTCTTTCGGTAAAGTCGCGTAGAAGGGAAATCGTAAATAAAAATAAAACAATAAAATCCTCACGACGATTCGATTGCAACACAAGCAAATCATCATCAGGTGTGAAAACCACAGAAAGAAAATGTTTTCACAAAACTACAGCAAGAAAACATTTTCACAAAACCACAGCAAAAACATTTTCTTGCTGTGGTTTTCAACACCTGATGATGATTGTGTTGCAATCAAAACGTCGTGATAATTTTATCGTTTTATTTTTATTATTTCCCTTCTACGTGACTTTACCGAAAGAAGCAATAATATTCTAGATTTGAAGCTTTCGTGACTGCAAGGATTCATACTCTTAGGTTTTTTCGGTAAATTCACGTAGGGAAACATAAATAAAGTATCCACTTGGTGAGGGAGTCAAACATTGGTAGCCTTTCGGATATAATTATCTTACCAATGTGCTATGAAGGGACATCGGCCGAAACGTCGCACATTATATATTTTCCTTTTTTTATGAATTGTTGATGAATGCTGTTTTATAAAATATATAAATGTACTGTACTGTACCCGCCCTTGCCATATGCGGACTTTCCGCCACGGGCCGATGGCTGTTGGACAGGGCACGAGCACCGCCTCAATGGAACATTTGAGCAGAACACAAACAAAACATCTCTTTATCTGTGTGGGGTGGGGGGAGAAGAGCTTTAGAACTCATCGGATTCCTCCAGTACAAATATTAATCTTCTTGGTTCTTTCGGTAAAGTCACGTAGAAGGAAAATAATAAAAAATAAAACATAAAATAATTCTTTTATTTTATTGTTTTATTTTTATTATTTTCCTTCTACGTGGCTTTACCGAAAGAACCAAGAAGATGAATCCCTGCAGTCACGAAAGCTGTAAATACAAATATTAAGTTTTAAAAAAACAACCTCCTTTACCAAGATGGCCGCTTGACACGTGACCCCCCCCCACCCCCCGGGAGCCCCTCCCCTCCCCCCCGCTAACCCCGCCCCTCGCGCGCCTCTCTCCTCAACGTTACCGGCGTCTCCGCACGAGTCGCCGCCACCGCCGCGCGACTTCAGCCGTTGTCTCTGATTCCCCTTCCTGGGCATCTTGCGCGACTCGCCGCCACTCGCGTCGCGCTCACTGCCATGACGGCGAGCAGCGCGACGCGGAGGAAATTAAACATTGGAGCCGACTGAGCGGCAGCAGCCCTCCTCCCGGGTCGGCGGCCATGACAGACTAAGCCCCCCCCCCCCCCCCAGTCTGCCTCCACGCCCCCTCCCCTCCCACCGGACCCCCCGCGCCCTCCCCCTTCCCTCACTTCTCCACCCTCCCCTCCGTCACTCCCCCCCACACTCCCTCCACCCCCCTCCCTCACTCCCCCCCCCTCACTCCCCCCACCCTTCCTCACTCCCCCCCCACCCTCCCTCCCTCACTCCCCTCCCTCACTCCCCACACCCTTCCTCACTCCCCCCCTCCCCCTCCCCACACACCCTTCCTCACTCCCCCCACCCTCCCCTCCCTCACTCCCCTCCCTCACTCCCCTCCCTCACTCCCCACACCCTTCCTCACTCCCCCCCTCCCTCACTCCCCCCACCCTCCTCACTCCCCCCCACCCTCCCCTTCCTCACTCCCCCCCACCCCTCCCCCCCCCCCACCCTCCCCTCCTCCCCTCCCTCACTCCCACCTCCCCTCCCTCTCCCCTCCTTCACTTCCCTCCTCCTCACTCCCCCTCCCTCACTCACTCCCCTCCCCCACCTCCCTCACTCCCCCCACCCCCTCCCTCCCCCCACCCCCCTCCCTCACTCCCCTCCATCCCCTCCCTCACTCCCCCCACCCCTCACCCCCCCTCACTCTCCCCCTCCCTCCCCCCACCCCTTCCCTCACCCCCCCTCACTTACTCCCTCACACCCCCCCACCTCTGCGCTGCCACGCGACTCGAGCTCATGGGGAGGACCGCCCAATGGAGACTCCACGTCACCATTGAAGAGTGACGTCACCATTGAAGAGTGACGTCATGCCACCGAGCGGGTGACGTCGATAAACGTTGTGGGCGCGTCACGTTTGGTGACAAAATAAACAGAACGGCGCTGGGAGACATTTCGCCTCCTTTTCGATTTCTTTCCCGCCACGTGAACAACAAACTTGTTCTGTACATTACTCACCGGACCTTAATTTCAGCAGCATTGCTTCGGTACAAGCGCAACTCTATGAGAACCGAATTCGGCAGACTCGCACTTGCTTTAAGGGGCCGTCCATAAATGACGTCACGCACCTAGTGGGGGGGGGGGTCAGACATGTGTGACGAGGGGGGGGCGTTTGAGAACTGTGACGTCACATCAAATTGCGCAACTTTAAATAAATATAGACAACACGTTCTACTTAATTAAATTTACTTTTTAATAAATGTTTTCTCCTACAACATCAGAGTGCAGCGCCACATTAAATACGCACTACAATGACAATAGTTGGTGACGTCATCGCATCGTTGTTTTTTTCACGTTGACATGACGTCACAAATAAAAACCTCCCAAACCGGCCCGCCCACGACGTACTATCTAAGAAATTGCGTCACCGCGAATCCAGTGACGTCATCGCGCGGTGGTGGACGTCACGAGGAGGCTGGCAAGATGATGGCGACCTTAGCGGTAGAGCCGCTGCGGCTGGATCGCGGTACGGAGCCTCAGATTCTGCGGCGGCGGCGGCGGCGGCAACGGCGGCCGCGGGCACGGCGACGGGGCGAGCGCGGGCGCGGCAGAGGGCTAGAGCCGGGGCTAGGGGGACGAGAGCGGGGGATACGGTCCCGTTACCAGGCACGCTCACCACCATGACGGGTCTTATATCCCACTCTCCCCCCCCACCCCTCATCCCCTACTCCTCATCCCCCACTCTCCCCCACCCCTCATCCCCCACCCCTCATCCCCCACTCCCCCCACCCCTCATCCCCCACCCCTCATCCCCCACTCTCCCCACCCCTCATCCCCCACCCCTCATCCCCCACTCTCCCCCACCCCTCATCCTCCCCCCACCCCTCATCCCCCACTCTCCCCACCCCTCACCCCCCCCACCCCTCATCCCCCACTCCCCCCACCCCTCATCCCCCACTCACCCCACCCCTCATCACCCACTCTCCCCCCCCACCCCTCATCCCCTACTCCTCATCCCCCACTCCTCATCCCCCACTCCCCCCACCCCTCATCCCCCACTCATCCCCCACCCCTCATCCCCCACTCCCCCCACCCCTCATCCCCCACCCCTCATCCCCCACCCCTCATCCCCCACTCCCCCCACCCCTCATCCCCCACCCCTCATCCCCCACTCCTCATCCCCCACTCTCCCCACCCCTCATCCTCCCCCCACCCCTCATCCCCCACCCCTCATCCCCCACTCTACCCACCCCTCACCCCCCCCACCCCTCACCCCCCACTCCCCCACCCCTCAACCCCCACTCTCCACACCCCTCATCCCCCACTCCCCCCACCCCTCATCACCCACTCTCCCCCCCCCACCCCTCATCCCCCACTCATCTCCCACTCTCCCCACCCCTCATCCCCCACTCTCCCCACCCCTCATCCCCCACTCTCCCCCACCCCTCATCCCCCACTCTCCCCACCCTCATCCCCCACTCTCCCCCACCATCATCTCCCACTCTCCCCACCCCTCATCCCCCACTCTCCCCCACCATCATCTCCCACTCTCCCCACCCCTCATCTCCCACTCTCCCCACCCTCATCTCCCACTCTCCCCACCCTCATCCCCCACTCTCCCCCACCATCATCTCCCACTCTCCCCACCCCTCATCTCCCACTCTCCCCACCCTCATCTCCCACTCTCCCCACCCTCATCTCCCACTCTCCCCACCTTCATCCACTAACCCCACCTCATCCTCGCCCATCTTATTTCCTACTTCACCCCGCTCATAATCCTTCAACCCTCACCACCATGAAGCCCCCCCCCACTACCCGACTCACCCCCTCATCCTCCACTTTAACCCCGTCCCTCAGCCTCCCCTACTCACCTCATCCCCCCCCCCCCCCCTTTACCCTGCCCTCACTCCCCACTCATCAGCCTTCCCTTAGAAACTCATCACCCTTCTCATCCTCCTTCGTTCAACCCTCACCCCCACCCCCCGCAACCCAAATCACACTCCGTGCACTCATGAACCTGGCTCACAAGTCACTCGTGGGAGCCAAGGGTCTCACGCGGGTCCCCCTGCTGTGTGCACCATCCTCGCTGTCGCAGCCAAAACATTGCAGCCAGCATCATCAGCAACACCCGTGGGGCGAGACGTACACCCAGCACCAGGGCTCGCTCAACCAGGAAACCTCAGCAAGCCCGCTTCTGGCTCTGACACTAGCATAGCCCGGTTCGGTGGTGACGGTGACGTGGATAATCAAATTGCTGCTGTCTTGTTGTTGCCGCTGCTACGGCTGTTGTCATTGTCACTGTCTCTTCCCATTAACCTCCCACACCCCCATGCCTCGCGCGCTGTCGACACAGACGTAGCCCGTGCCATTGAGCTCCTGGAGCGACTCCAGCGCAGCGGGGAGGTGCCCGCGCACAAGATCCTGGCGCTGCAGAAGGTGCTGCAGAGCGACTTCTGCACGGCCGTGCGAGAGGTGGGTTTCTAAAGACTCCTCGTGGCCACCCTCCACGGTGGAGATTCCCCGTGGTCATCCACCATCGTACAGAACCCGCGGCGTGCCACGGTGGCGAGGTGTTAAGGTTTAGAAAAGGAAACGAAAAGGATTAGGCAAGGGATAAGATTTGGGCACTGGGTTTTGTTCATGTTTAGGGTTAAGCATTTATGGATTTCGGTTAGGAATAGGCAATATGCAAGGACAGGGATACGTTTGGCAAGTTGGTTAGAGTTACGCAATAACAGAGCTAAGATAGGGTTAGGTAAGACTTAGGATTGTGCCATGGTAATGCAAAGTCAGGGTTAGGGTGAGGCAAGGGTAACATTCAGGGCTACAGTTAAGAGTTATAGCATTAGAATTAAGGTTATGGTTGCCCGAAGGTTAGACTCAGGCTAACACAATGTTTGGTTTATGGTTGTACACCCTTCGGTGCGGTGTTGTGCGATAATCATATTGCTCCTCCATGTTGTCTGCCGCAGGTTTATGAGTACATTTATGAGACCCTGGACATCACGGGCAACCAGGAGATGAGGGCTCTCGCCACCGCCAAGGTACATCCACCCTCTCCACCTTAATCTGTCCGGGTGTCTTCTTCATTGGTTATGGAATGATGGAGGGATGTGCCCAGCCGATGCAGGGTTCTGCCTCGTCCTCTCCAGCCATCTACGAGCACCGTGCGTGGCAGCCTGTCCGTAATATTCAGAACTTGGGGGACGGGATTAGTGGATCACGAAAAGATTGTACCGTGTGGTGACACTTCCAACACGCTGGGCGGCGAGAATTCCAGGAGGTGGAAGTACAGCAATTGGGATTGTAAAGCCCCTGTGTGGATATTTGAGTGTTAATCCCCCAGTATGCGTGTTCCCTCACGTGTAAAAAAAAACACGAATTCAGATTAAATTGTCCCAAACACTCCAATTCAGGACCCTTCCTGAAAGGAGTCTTAAGGCTATATTAAGATTGGATCAAATATGTTTGTTATTTCTACCGACCACCAACATCATCAGCATTAACAGATACTTCTGTGTTGTGAATTGAAGAATACAGATTGGCCTTTGTAAATGTAGTTTTAAATGTTAAAACATTGATTTCAGAGGCAATCTTACCAGTTATTCTTTTCACGTTTATTTTTTACAACTTACTTTGTTATTTTTCCCATTCCATCTGTCTGACCATCCATATTCCCTTCTATTTGGCCAGTTCATTGCCCACCCATCCAAACCGCTGTACATCGACGTGTACATTGCCCATAAGTTTATACATCTCTCCATCATTCCATAAGTGTCCATCAATTAATTTGTTCACATACCATCTTGCCATTTCACCATTTATCCTTCCATCTTGACTTCCATCTGTCCACCGTTCCCCAAAGCCCCTGCGTACTTTTGATTCGTTCCCATGTCTCCGCGCCCTGCCTGTCGCTGCATCCGCTCTGCACAGGCGACGGTGGCGGCGTTTGCTGCGAGCGACGGCCACGCGCATCCCCGCGTGGTCGAGCTGCCCAAGACCGACGAGGGCCTGGGCTTCAACGTGATGGGCGGCAAGGAGCAGAACTCACCCATCTACATCTCCCGCATCATCCCCGGTGGCGTGGCCGACCGGCAGGGCGGGCTCAAGCGCGGCGACCAGCTGCTGTCCGTCAACGGCGTGGTGAGCAACGTTGTCTCGCCCCAGCCAACCCACACACCTCACTCGCATCTTTCACTCACGTCCCTTGCCCGCTAAGGCAAAGACACCCCGGATCGCGTTGTCAGATTGCTGGAGCAAGTGCTGCAACGCCGTCTCGCCCAGCTACCCGCATCCCTCACCCTCATTTCTCACCGACATCCCTCACCAGCATCCCTCACCCGCTAAGGCAAAGATACCCCGGATAGTGTTAGCAGACTGTCGGGGCAAGTGCTGCAACACCGTCTCGCCCAGTCACCCACATCCCTCACCGGCATCCGTCACCCGCATCCCTCACCCGCTAAGATAAAAATACCCCAGATAACCTGAGCAGACTGTTGTGGCAAGTGTCTCTTCCGACGTCCGTAACGGCGCCTCGCGCGCGTCTCTCCCGGCATCTGTCACGGCGCCGCAGAGTGTGGAGGGCGAGCACCACGAGCGTGCCGTGGAGCTGCTGAAGCAGGCGCAGGGCTCGGTGAAGCTGGTCGTGCGCTACACGCCCAAGGTGCTCGAGGAGATGGAGGCTCGCTTCGAGAAAATGCGCACGGCCAAGCGGCGCCAACAGAGCACGAGCTCCTAGCCGGGCACTGCCCAGCCCGCGGGCGAGCATACCACGCGCGCATGTGCATAAGTGGGTCCGAGTGAGTGAGTGCGTGCGTGTGTAGTTGCGTGAAAGTTTGCGCGCGCACGTGTGTGTGTGTTTGTATGCGTGCGCGTGTGTATGCACCATGCTCCTACAGTCTGTTAAGGCTTTATGGGGCTCTTTGTGTTTGTGCACCGCGAGTGGGTGTGAGTGCATTCGTATGTCTGCGTCATATGTCCTTTCCGTCAGCTGATTGGCGACGATGGGGCTGCATGAATATCTCTTTCCCTAAACAATCCTGAACCAATCCCACTCTTTTCTCTTCTACGTCTCTTGCTTCACCATCTCTCCTCTGCTCCCGTTTCGTTCCACTTGTGTGTGTGGAATCGCTAAGTACGGGATCCTATCCCAGCTCATGTTTTGCAACGAACCCGAACCGCTGTGGTCTTTTCTCTTTCACTTCGTAGAGTGTAAAATAATTTTCAGCCGTTTTCTTATTTCTTCACGCTTAAGTCTCTGCAGTCTAGAAACTTCTCGAATCCTTCCCATCCGGTTCATCTCGGCTACTACGATATTCAGCTTACTCATCGTCCAACATTTTGCAACGTACAGTAGCAGTACTGCAACCACCATCCACTCGTATGTCTTCACCTTGGCCCTGATGTTTTCATCTCTCCAAATGTTGTTCAGTCCTCCAAAGGTTGTGGCTGTCAGACCGATCCTCCTCTTTATATATCGTTATCACATCTTTCATCCCGCGATATTAGGCCTCCGAAGTATACAAATTCATGTCCTGTTCTAATTCCCTGCCCCCAATCGATGCTTCTCAAATGGTCTTCTTTCCCATCACCATCACCTTTGCTTTGTCGGCATTGATTCTCAGTCCAAGCGATCTCTCTTCTCTCTTCACCTTGTCTGTTATTTCTTGCAGATAGTATTTTTTGTTTCTGCCACAAAATTTATGTCATCTGAAAATGTTTACTGTAATTTACATGAACGTATGTGTGTGCACGTGGGTGGGTTTGAGTGTGTATATATGAATGTGCGTGCTTGTATAAGTATGTATATGAAAGCTTGTTTGTCTGCACACAAGTGAGTGCGAGTGCTCTCGTGTGTGTGTGTCCATGTACGTGCGTATCCAGGAGTGAGCGTGTGTGCACATATATAAGTGCACATGTATGTGTGTAGGTGTGTCTGAGTTTGTGTCCTTGAATGAGTTGGTGCTCATAAATACGTGTGTGAATGTACGTGTGTGTGTGTACACGTGGTATAATTGCGTGACTGGATGCGTACGCGTGTGCGTATTTATGTGCGTATGTTGATGCACGTGCATGAACACTTGCACATGTGCACACGCGTGCATGCACATGTGCTTTCACTTATGCACACATCCAGTCACATGTACACGCATATTTGCGCGCACGTACACATTCATACAATTGCATATGTACACACATGCATGCATGTACCTGGTCATGCATGAGCACGGGCGCGCGCATGAGTACGCATACTTTCGTGCGCCCATGTGCACTTGTATGAATGTGTACGTGCGCGCAAACATGCGCGCGTGACCGATCTGCAGTCGGTGAGAATCCAATGCCATCAAATGTGAGCTTAGCTTTTCAAATACTCCTGAATCTGAACCCCGATCCGATTGGGGTCGGATTGGGGTCATCATTGTTACTATCACGATGATGTGGGTGCACGGGGTCACAGGAGAGAAAACTCGCAGATAAGACTGGGGATGGTCTAAAGCAGCACTCTCAACTCTCGAGCCCTTATGACCCCCGCCCGCCACCACTACAGTCCATCTTTTTGTAATTACTAATCTTTCTACGCATATGCAAATGAACACCACTGCATCCACATGATGGTTGGCAGTCATGGAAATCCGTACCGTGGGGCAGCGGTCACGAGGACTAGAGAATCGCTGGGCCTTGTTCAGTTGCATCGAAATGATTCCGGAAGCTTTTAGGGACCAGAGTTGATGTTCACTTTGCCTCGGTCCCTAAAAGTTATGGGGTGGGAAAAGTTCGAACCTTTGGGAGATCCACGGTGGCGAGATGTTAATTACCTCGCCTGAGGTCGTGGGTTCGATCCCGACCCTTGATGCCTGCTGTATATTTGGAGTTTTGCATGTCTCTCTCCCTGTGGTTTGCGTGGGATTTTCTCCAGTTTCTTACCCCCACATTTAGAATCAACATGCGTTCAAAGTATTTGGCTGCTATAAATGTCCACACGATTCGACACTTTGTTGAGCTATCATTTGTGACCAGGTCACTTCTGAAAAAGAGCTATATAGCTCAGTGGGCCTTACCTGGTAAAATAAAAAATGGTTTAGTTTATATCCACAGGCTTAGTAAGAAAACGTACATCCCGTGGCCCCACGCAAATAAAAGGATTTTGTGGAAAGACGGAAATATGACTAATGCCGTGTTTAACAAGCAATTTCACATGAAGTAGAATTATCGATTAACTGCACTAATTTGGTGGGGCTGGAAGGATAACCCCGCTACCAAATAAGCAATATCTGTGGTTAATCGGACACTAATAGGAAAGTGTTTGGGGTTTTCTGGGGAGGGTGCTCGAGCAAATAGGGAAGGGGGATAGTCTTCGGTGACTAGGAAGAGTGCACAATATCCGTGTTCTGTATTAGAGTATTATTATTGTGAAATCATCTGACCACATGGCATAGTGGTTAGAGCATTAATTAACCACACAATGAGAAGGTTGCAGATTCAAATTCCACCTGGGGGGGGTCAGCTTGACCCATCGCAAACTTTCCCAGGCCGAGACAGGTGAGTTCTAAATTTCGATTTAAAACTTTCGTGACTGCAGGGATTCATCTTCTTGCTTCTTTCGGTAAAGTCACGTAGAAGGGAAATAATAAAATAGTAAAATAATAATAAAATAATAAATGTGTTGCAATCGAAACGTCGTGAGAATTTTAATGTTTTATTTTGATTATTTCCCTTCTACGTGACTTTACCAAATAGGTGCGTACCACTTTTGTAAGTAGTTGCTCACCAGGCTACTAGGAGATACCAGCTTCCGTTCTATCACATGTGGAATCCCTGCTGGCTCAGGTTTGCCAACAGATCGAGTCACTGTTCCAATGCTCTCTTGGCCAATGAAATGTATTTGACTTGAAGGTGGTAGAATTCTGGAAAAACCAAGACCTCCCTACTCAAACTAGCAACCTTCTGTTCTCGTCTCACTTGGCAGGCCCAATCTAGCAGTGGAATTTCCACATTCCCTTGGTGGGGGCCATTCTATAAAATAGGGAAACCACCAATACTGTACATGAATATCATTTATTTATCCAGAAAATCCTCACTGAGTCTGAATACTCTTCAACAGGAGAGTTATAGGATGTCTTTAATTTATATCTTGCATAATCGATTGACGTGGTAATAGCTGTCCCTTTGTAACCGCGATTACCCGGAATGCATCTCAGTTAAATACACGGCGGTGGCAGACGCCAGCAATCTCTTTACTATTAATGTAAGGTTGGTGGATCGTGCACAGATCATCTTCTAGGCGAGACTCTCAACCTGCAGGACTACCCGATGGTGCCTGTAGAATATCGGAGGCAGTATAGAAAATAGGTTGTGGAACCTATCTTCACAGGAGATTATTGTTGAGTCTCTTCCTCTCATAGGTCTCTGTGCTCCTTTAGAGGCACTCCGGTGTCTTCACACATGAAACAAAATGATTCTCAACGAGGAACTGGCCGTACAGCCCAAGCAGGTTACTTGTATTGGAGCCTTCAGGCTCAGTGAGATTTCAATGGATATAAGACGTTTTAACTGACAGTATTTCGCTATAAGTGAACGTGGCACATTGGAGAAATATCGTGGGAGGATAGAGGAAGTAACCTGGAAATGCGGTGTAGAGAATGTTGTGTAAATGAGCTTGTGATGGGTGGGACACGTGTGCAGGAAGGAAGAGGGCATGTTAACGCGACAGGCATTGGAGTGGCGCGCAGAGTTCGGTGACCAAGCGCAAGACCTGGAGGCAGATGGTGGGAGACTGAGAGCAGACCTAGGAGGTCGGGCATTGACTGCGTTAAGAGCTGCGGGCGGCAACGGCGAGGTGTGGTAGCATCTTCAGCATTTGGGGCGTGATGGCCCCTTGCTCTCGCCGTACGAAAGCAATCGGTGTCTCGGCTTCTAAACGAATTGACCACTCTGCTGGCCGTCATCCCAAAAGCCCCTGCTTACCGTAGGTGGGCAACGAAAAACTAAACAGTGGGCCCACATTTCTCTCCAAACAGAATCCCAAATAACGATCGCACACACGCCTCAAAGTCTTCACACTCATTTTCAAAAGGGTCCTGCTTGGGATGTTTGGCCAATTCTTGACCAGAATTAAACCAATGCATACGAGTGGCTAACACTTTGAAAAGATCTGTCTCAATCTGCTGTTCCGCAACCTACTTTCTCTACTACTCCACCACGTCGGTCACCGCCTGGTTCCCATGGTCCTTGTTGCTGGAGCATGCGATTCAAGATGCCCATCCATATGTGATCCACCAACCAAACCTCCCGTGTCGCTGGGTCAAAGTGCACACCACCACCACATATATTCTACTAAAGTCTGCCAACACGTTGAGTGACGCGATATTGTGTTTTACAAAGCGAAGAGTACAAAGGGAGAAACTCGTGCCTGGTTCGTGCCATGTTCACTTTCTGCCGTCGCACACTCAACCCGCGGCCTCTGGGTATCGGGGCAAGATTAATGAATGCGTCACCTCGTGTTGGTCAAGAGTAATTATGCGCAACTACCTGCCGCTTAACAAATGATCCCAATGTGAATGCGAGGGCTGATCGAACACTCGTGGGTCACGTGACCAAAGTTGACCAATCGGAGGAAGATCGCTGCGTGTTTTAACAAAGTGTCTCCCTAGTCAAATTATATTTAGGCATTGTTCTTACCCCATTGACGACCCTGCATCAGTGGCGAAAATTCCACATTTTTACGGCATATTATTACCCGAACATACGTGTCCCAACTGGTGCTGATCAGCCCAGCCTGATTTACAATCATAAGGTTGTGAGTTCAAAGCTCCTTTAGGGGTCAGCCCTGCCTGTCATCCTTTTGAAGTCGATACAATGAGCGAACCGCTTTGTGTAACGTCACCAGCAGCGGTCGTCTTCTCAAAGAGACTGGCCCCGAACGGCAATGTGAAATTTCCACCACTCGCTCGGGACAGCCAATGGGAGTGCTTCGAGCAGGAAGACACGTTGGGCCCCGTCCACGTGCTGGTAACGAGTACTCACTCTCATCCAGCTGTGAACAAAACCATCCCATTGTCCCCGTTACCACCAGAACGGAGACTCCCTGAAGCGGTGTGTTCGCTGTCAACATTTGAATCTGGCCCAGGGTTGTTGTTTTTTTTACTTCGCCCGTACAGCAAACGAGAAGTGATTTTTCTGTTTGTGTTGTTTGTTATCCTTCCCGCGCACCTCCGATGAGCACGGATGGCTACGTACGGTGCGAAGGAAGTTTAACATACAGCCAGCGTAGAGTTAATTATATACTACAGTGCTGTGCGAGTCAATGTTCATGTGCTGGTGCGTATTGTTACACCAGGAAACCCTCACTTGCTCTCAAGACCCTTTGTTTTTTTAAACGAGAATCCTCCCATTTGCCCTGCATTGGGATATTTGGCCATTTCTCTACCCAAAATGCAGCTTGGCAAGAAATACTTTTTTTTAGTTTTAAACAATATAGAGGTACATACGAAGGTGTTAATTTAGTAACCGGTGAGGTCGTGAAACGTCCTCGCGTGGCTCGAGATACATTTCCACCAGAGCGTGTCACAAGCCGACGGAGAAATCGAGCAATTTTGAAGGCCACCCACACGACGTTCTGACCCCAGTCGCCTCAACATGTAGCCCGGCTTTGAAGCGTTAACAGTGTTCCGTAGTTTACCACTTAGCAGGTTCTATTTTTGTTGTTAATTATAAGTTTTACCTTTGTGTTTACTGTGTCGGGGTAATACTGCCTTGCTTGAAGATGTGATGTGATTTGGTGAGGTGCTGCAGTTTCGGCTGTACGATGTTACATACTCTTTTTTTTTAATACCTCATTGGCGTGTTGCAGATGCATAATTTATGTCTTTCTGACCATATTTAAGAGGCGTTAGAGACTTGGATGTTTTCAGTAATAAATGTTAGTTCGTGTTCACCCTTTAATCGCCACTGCTTCACCTTTCATTGCATGTGCTGCAACCCAGTAGCAACAATGATTACACAGCCTCCTTGACTATTAGAATTTAACATTCGTGCTGGGTGTTCAACAGTGGCTGGGGGTGGAAGTGATCAGCCCCCTCCAGCCCCAACGCAACTGGACTGATGTTCAGTAGCACGAGGCAACGGTGGCATTCCAGGCTCATAATGGTCATTCCAAAGACACGTTAGCCAGATATTCCAAGATCTGGGCTTCAGGATCGTAGGCTGGGTGCCCATCTCTCAGCACACGGGGCGATTATGAAGGACAATGGTAGCGCCGAGCCAGCACCACTGTGAAACAGCGCCACTGTGAACCAGCGTGCGTCTCTTAAGAGGTTCATAATGGCCTGTCCCAAGACCCGAAGCCAGTGTTCTTCACTAACTTTCAGAGGGGGGCCCACTTTCGCCGATAAGACATTGTCAGTGTGAGGGCCGCCACACATTTGAAGCCATGAGGGTTTGGCTGCACGATAGGGGGGTTGTTTTCATAAGTTGTGTGTGGTCAGGGGCCACCAGTGGCAATGAAGACCCCTGCCCGAAGCCAACACCACTGAAACATTGGTTGCAATCCAGGATTCAGCCGTACCCCCCCCCCACCACACCCCCCACCCCCTGGTGGCCAAAGCTACGAGTTGGTGCCACCTTGGCAACCACCATGAGAGGTGTGTTTTCAACAACAGTGCAAAAGAACAAAAACACATTTAAAACGGGGGTTTAAATTTACGCTTCGATTTACGTTCCATGTTTTATTGCCATTTAATCAGAGCAGTAATATTGCAAAGAGGTACGACTGCGGAGCTGTAGTGGCTTGCATTTTGCGAAGAAGGAGCGCCCACCACAGCGTTAAATGTTCGAGACCGTGAGCGTTTCGACGATGTGATGACGGCAAGAGAAGGCGCCACATGTAGCTACTACATATGTAGTTTCATGGCTTCAACTTTTATGAAATACTGGGTGTTTAAGGTTAGCGATTTGTCGTATTATCTGGCTGTATACCAAATGAAAAAGTGCAATTACTATGCAAGTAACATTTTTTTTTATTTAGGGCCCCTTTGTTGCAGTCCCCGCACGATCTTCATCCGGCATTGATCCCCCCCCCCCCACGCTCGCTACGCTCCTGGGTCCAGGCAATGATGACGATGTCACACGCAAGGCTGTGCGGACGCAATCGCCACCCTCGCTCAGCAGTTCACCTGGTGGAAGGGGGACGGGGGGGTCATCCTTCCCTGACTCGTTACCTGGTCTCACAACCCCCCCCACCCCCCCTCTGAATACCATTCACACCTCCTAGGCAGTAAGGCACATTAGGCAGCTACTACTCCCAGGGGGCGGCTGGCGACTCCTTCCAACCCTTTGAGGTTCCGCATCCCGAGCAAGATCAGCTAGCTAGCTGCCCCCCTTCCGTCCTCATGCATGCACACACGCCTAGCAAAACAAAAGACTAAGATCCCCCGTATAGCCTTAATAGACTATGAGGGCAAGTGATATTACCGAGTACCTATTAAGGCAAACATGGCACACGTGGTACATACTGTGACTGATGCCGCCCACGGCCGCCTTTGTCTCCCCAGCGGTGACGTTTTATACGCCACGCCAGGTACTCGTGTAGGGCTGGGTCGACCTAGGGGAGCCCCAGGGACCGATGAATGTTTGCCACTGACGTTTGCCTTGAGCCGGAATCGAACTCAGGTCGCCGGGTTCGTATCACAGCGCGCTCAGCACTGCGGTCTACTACCTACTACCCACACACACCGATTCAAAGACAAAGATCCCCCGTATAGCCTTCACAGACTAGTTGGGGCAAGTGCTGTTCGCGAGCAGCACCACGCCCGCCCGACCGCCTTTGTCTCCCCAGCGGCGATGTTTACACACTGCACCAAGGTAACTCATTTGAGTCTGAGTCAACCTACGGGGAGGAGGTTTAGGACCGGGTTCAGATAATCGCCACTGGGTGTTGGCCGTGAGCGGGAATCGAACCCGGGTCGCCGGATTACACAAAGACACACGCAGACACACAACAAAGACTGTAGGGGAAAGTGCTGTTAGCGAGCACCTATGAAGGCCGGAACGGTACACGAGGGGGTGGGTGGCCAGAACCACGCCCGACCGCCTTTGTCTCCCTAGTGGCAATGCTTACACACCGCACCAGGTACTCATTTGAGGCTAAGTCGACCTAGGGGAGACCCGGGACCGGTTCAGATAATCGTCACCGGTGTTGGCCGTGAGCGGGAATCGAACCCGGGTCGCCGGGTTCATAGCGCAGCGCTAACCGCTACACTACCGCTCCCCACACACACACAGACACGCACACAGACACACACAGACACACACACAGACACACACAGACACGGGTGCACACAAACACACACAGACACACACAGACACACAGACACGGGCGCACACAGACACACACGGGCGAGGTGGCGGGACACGAGGAAGCAGAAAGGTCACCACCGCCCGCACTGTCGATATCGATTGCGGACGGCACGGCGGTAATTGCGTCCCCGAAGGCGGCGCCTCGTTACGAGCCCCGTGCGTGGAGAGGGGGGCAGAGGGGGGGGGGCTCGGGGTCCGCGAGTGGGGGGGGGGGGGCGAGGAACGACACCGAGGGTAGGGGAGCGTCAGGGAAGGGTTGAATGATGGAGGTGTGGGGTGACATATAGAGGGTGAGAGTGATGGGGTGGTGTGGGTGGAGTGATGGGGTGGCGTGGGTGGAGTGATGGGGGTGGTGTGGGTGGAGTGATGGGAGTGGTGTGGGTGGAGTGATGGGGGTGGTGTGGGTGTGAGTGATGGGGGTGGTGTGGGTGGAGTGATGGGGGTGGTGTGGGTGGAGTGATGGGGGTGGTGTGGGTGGAGTGATGGGGGTGGGGTGGGTGGAGTGATGGGAGTGGTGTGGGTGGAGTGATGGGGGTGGAGTGGGTGGAGTGATGGGGGTGGTGTGGGTGGCGTGATGGGGGTGGTGTGGGTGGAGTGATGGGGGTGGTGTGGGTGGAGTGATGGGGGTGGTGTAGGTGGAGTGATGGGGGTAGTGTGGGTGTGAGTGATGGGGGTGGTGTTGGTGGAGTGATGGGGGTGGTGTGGGTGGAGTGATGGGGGTGGTGTTGGTGGAGTAATGGGGGTGGGGTGGGTGGAGTGATGGGGGTGGTGTGGGTGGAGTGATGGGGTGGAGTGATGGGGGTGGTGTGGGTGGAGTGATGGGGTGGTGTGGGTGTGAGTTATGGGGGTGGTGTGGGTGGAGTGATGGGGGTGGTGTGGGTGGAGTGATGGGGTGGTGTGGGTGTGAGTGATGGGGGTGGTGTGGGTGGAGTGATGGGGGTGGTGTGGGTGAGGGAACGGCCTGTGTAAGTGATGGGGGTGGTGTAATGGAGTGATAGTTTGGTGTGGGTGAGAGAACGGGCTGTGTGAGTGATAGAGGAGTAGTGGTTGACAGATGAGAGGTGTGGCCACGTGGTGGAGAAAGCGTGGTGCCTGGTGTCCTTCACTGCAAGGCCCGCGGGCCACTGGCGGCCCATCGTGGCCTTTAGCGCGGCACCCACCGCGCTGCTGTCAAACCCACAATGGTTTCAAATGCGTGGCGGCCCTCACTCTGAAGTCGTATCGGCGAAAGTGGACCCCCCCCCCCCCCGTCTGAAAACAAGCGAAGAACGCTTGTGGAAGCAATGCGGATGAGGGGGTGCATAGCAAGCGGGTGAGAGAGGTGTGGGTGGGAGAGAGGGGTGAGTAAGTCGTGGGGAGTTGGGTTGAGTGATTGGGGGATGTGGGTCCGTGTATTCCTCTGCGTATGCGTGCGCAAGTGCACGCGTTACATTTTGGGGAGCGGTGGCGCAACGGTTAGCGAACCGCGCTTCGAACCCGGCGAACAGAGTTCGATTTCAGCTCACGACCTGGACCAGATATATGTTCTTCCCTTAGGTCGACCCAGCCTTAAATGAGAATCCGTTGCACTTTGTGTAAACATCAGCACTGGGGAGACAAAGACGGCCGGGCGTGGTGCGGGCCATCCTTCTCGTGTGCCGGGCCGCACCTCCGATTAGCACGGCTGGCTACGTACGGTGCGAAAGAAGTTCAACGTACACAGCTGCCCTCATCGGTGCTGCTCGCGAACGGCACTTGCCCCAGCAGCCCCCCCCCCCCCCCGCCGCTACAGCCTCCACGGGGGGCGTCGGTGTCGTCGTGCGTGCACGTGGCAGTGGTGTCAATGTTTTGGGATCTCTCGAGCAGCCGAGCACAGGGACCACTGCCGTAATTTGTGGACACGGGCAAAGCCCCCCCCACCACCACCAACCCCCCCCCCCCCCCCCTTGCAATTACAATAAATATCGACACGGCAATGCCGCCTGCAACAAGGCGAAGCGATTGCACAACGGGGACCGTATCGCCACCCCCCCCCCACCCACCCGTCATCATTAGCACGCCGCACGCAGCAGCCGCTGATCGTAAACGACTCAAGTGGCGGTCACGCCAGCCAGCCGCAGCAGCGCCCGTGCCAGGCTAGGTGCACGCGCGTTTGCGTCGTGCCGAGAAGCAGCAAAGACTCGCCGGTAACGGAGGTGGGGGGGAGGGGTCGCCATCAACCTCGGAGGGTCGTGGGTTCAGAGGCCATACCCGTCAACCCATACGGGTTAGCCGGATTCTTGTACAGGGGAATTGAGTAAAACATTGTGTGGGTTGTATTTTGGCTATTTGTTTGTGTTTCTCTCCCTTGTGATGATGGGACTTTGCAGGATGAACGTTGAGATGTATACGGGGCACGGGGTGACCAATACGATCTAAATTGGCCTTTAATACAGTGGGGCATTGATAAGGGGTTGACAGGTATGTCGTGGTGAGTGTACTAGTGGTGAGTGTACTAGTGGTGAGTGTCGTAGTGGTGAGTGTCTATGTGTTTGTTTATCTCTCCCTTGTGATGATGGGACTTTGCAGGATGAACGTTGAGATGTATACGGGGCACGGGGTGACCAATT